GGGGCAGGGGGTGGGGGGCCAGCATGCAGTTGATCAGTGTTTCTCTCGCTCTCTAAAAAGAAATAAAAACATAATTTAAAAAATTGAGTTTATTGGGGTGACATTGGTTAAAACAATTATATAGGTTTCTGGTGTATAATTCTATACTGCATCATCTGTATATTGTGTTATGTGTTCACCACCCCATGAATCGCTTAATGAAGCCAATTTGATCTTCAAATTTACTTGGTTGAATTTTGTTTTTTAGCATAGGTAATTAACATTTTTCCATTTTTTTGTTCAGATATAGTGGGAGGGAGAGAGAAGAAGAAGAGAGAGAAAGAGAGAGAGAGAGAGAGAGAGAGAGAGAAACATCGACGTGAAAGGGACACATCGAGTGGCTGCCACCTGCACAACACAACCAGGGCCGGGGACAAACTGCAACCAAGGTACATGCCCTTAGCAGGAACCGAACCCGGGTCTCTCTGGACTGCAGGCCGACGCTCTAATCACTGAGCCAAACTGGCCAGGGCCATTTAAAAGATTATTAACTGGCTATTTTACATCTTTTAATTTGTACTAGGTCTTCAAAACCTGGTTGGCGTTTTACACTTACAGCATCTCTCGGTTGGGGCTTGCACAGATGGCCTGCTTAGATCCTGGAGGTCTCACTCCCAACCATTTGGCTGTCAGCCCCAAACACTCTTCTAGATCCCTCCCCATGACCTGACAGGGCACAAGGAGACCAGAGCTCAGTGACACAGCAGACAGCAGCATTTTGAACCTGGAACCCAGGGAATCTGTATCCCTTGTCCTGTCCTAGGGCAGGAACCTAAACATGGCATAGGGGCCTGGGAACAAAGTGAGTTGTCCTATCCCAAGGGATGGGAAAAGAAAAGCAAAAGCCAACAGTCAAGGTCAGCCTCCAGGGAAGCCCTTTGTACTCAAGGATAGCCCAGAGATAGCAAGGGTGGATTTTTAGGACCTGAGGGTGAAGGTAGAGACTTAGTCATCAGACTCCTCGCCCAGCCCATCACAGAAAAAGGGGTGGAGGGGGCCTGGAGCCTGCCCCTTCTGGGCAAAGGTAGTCCTTGAACAACACTACTGGGGACAGGAGCACCTGGGAGTCCTGACCCTAAGGGCTTGCTACCTGGACCCTTGCTGGGAGATGGTTCAAACAGCCTGAACTTATGCCACTGTGATGGGCAAAGACACACAGCTGGAAAGTCAGGCCCCCAAGCACAACCCGAATGTGTGGCCAAATGCATATGCAGGCAGACACGGCAGTCAGAACAAACTGGGTTCCAAGACTCATCCCTGAAAGTAAGAACCAGGGGCTATGCTAGGTGAGAGAGACCCCAAAAACATGGCTTAGGAGGAGGAACCAACACACAAAAGATCACACACCCTGTCTATTTCAAATCCAAACATCCTGCAGCTCAAGTCCTGTTCTGTCCTCCCAGAAATGGGGAGGACATTGCTAGGCTGCCAGATAATCGTGCCCATCCACCCACCTTGTGACCTGAGGTGCCTGCAGCATCCCTGCCTCTGGAATCAGGGGCAGGTGTGGTGGGAACCCACCCCTAGCCGGGCACTTATACACCCACATCCCACCATTAAATCGTCACCCAGGGGTGCTAGGCGTCCCATTTCAGGGAGGCAGAAGCTGAGGCTTGCAGGGAACAATGGACAATTAGGGGTCTGCAGCCAGCGGGTTGGCAGAGCTGACCCCAAAGCCCACACTCTGGCTTTCTAATTTTAAAATGGAAGCTGCTAGTAGGCTAGAAAAAGGAATGGGTAGGCTCTTTCTGGAACTCCGATCTCTGGGTGTGTCTGAGGCGTAAACAGGCCCAGGTGTGCTGGATTGAGATGACTCAGGTCAAAGGTCCCTGGTGGCTGTTATGCATTCATTCATTCATCAAAAAATTTTGATTAAGCCCCTCCCTACTGCGTCAGGCACAATGCCTAGGATATAAACACAAATAGGCTACAGGTGTTGCCCTGGGGACTCACGCAGACAGAGAATTCAGATCCTGTGTGTTCAGAGTAATAAAAGATCTAAGGGCAGGGAGTGGGCGGAGGTGAGAAAAGGCCCCTTGGGAAGTGAGTGGCCTTGGAGAGTATGCCCAGTGGAGAAGGGGGCTGAAAGGGACCAGGTGTGAAGGTTCAAAAGTTCAAAGGCCAAGTGAGCATGGTGTGCCAGAGGGGAATTTGGACCCTTGGTGTGGTGGGGTGGACGCGAGAGAGAGAAGGTGGGGAGAGAAGGCTGCCAGATTGTGAAGGGCTGTGGAACATGATTATCCAACAAGAGCGACACCCCTGATTGAGCACATACTGAGCGCCAGGTGTGGCCAGCAGCTGCACTTGCCTAACGAGGGAGGCAGATCCAGGGCTAGTTGCCCCATGGATGGGGCAACAATCGCTGTGAAATATTTATTAATTCAAATACCAACAATACACGTTTACTGAGCACTCAGTGCCAGGCACTGAGCTTAACAGACATCCTTGAGTAATCCCACAGTCGGCGGAGGCAGCTGCTCAGGCCCCCAACTTACACAAGAGGAAATGGAGGCGGAGAGAGGTTAGGAGGCGGCCCAGCCAGCAGAGCTGCGCTAACTTACGCCTGCCCTGGCCGCCACCATGCGTCTGTGCGCCAGGGGCCAAGCTCAAGGGTTTCGGTCCCATCCCGTGATTGCAAGGTTGTCAGAAGGGGTGCTGCAGCCCCTCTCCCCCCTTAGGTGGAGGTGGGGAAAGCCATCAACAAAGGTGGGCAGAGCTGGAAGTACACCTCTACCTGCTTCTACACCAGTACTACAGGTACCTGTATCATTCCTGACCCAGGCTGGACTTCCCAGTCAGATGTCCCCTGCTACCCACTCCCTGCTTGGCATTTTTCCAAGTAACACCTTTTTCACTTATGAGAACTAATGGAGATACCATAGCAGCTCCTTTTAGGAAAATAAGTCACAATGTTTATTAACTTTTTTTTTTTTTTGCAATGACAGGTGGGTCACCTTCAAGTCCACCATACCAGATCTCATGGGAACTTCGGATTTAACAGTGCTGACTGGCTGCGCACAGGGCTCGAGAGAGTGGCTACACAGAGCTCAGATTCCGATGTCTGGGCATAAAGGAGCTCAGTTCAGCATCCCATAGGGGGTGCAAGTACTTCCCGTTATTTGTACAATTCTAGAGGACAGCTGTCACTGTAATCCAAGGCCTCCCATTTTACAGATGGGAGAACCAAGGCTCAGAGAACTTCTGATTTGCTTGTTGACCTGAAACCCCAAGAGGCCTGGTGACGGTGTCCCCAGAACTGGGGGCTGGGTTCTGCTCTCTTCTAACACAGTACACACAAACGCAGGTGTCGCACCACTACCTGGGGAATCTGATTCTGTGCTCACCCAGAAAGCAGGCAGCCAAGCGCTGCTGCCTTTCAGATGGCAGGGGGAGGAGGGGAGGCATGTGCTAGGCTCTCCACCTCCATGCAGGTCCTCCCACACCCAGCAGCAAAACCAAATGGGTAATGGGAGGAGCTTAACCTGATGCAATTTTGTGTGTGGGGTGTGTGTGGGGGGGTGGCGGGTTACTTGTGCCAGTGCCAAAGTCCAAAAAAAAGGAATGGCAAATTGATGCACTCAGCACAAAGTTCAGACTGGATTTCTGCCTGGCTGGGGTGCTCTGACCCCTGCCCCACCCTTGCCAATGCCGGCTTGGTAGTGGCAGGAAGTGGGAGCCTGGTGGCCCTGGCATTTCTGGCATCCAACTCTGGCTGGACAGGGCTCCTACTGATCTCACTTCCTTCACTTCCAGTAAATCAGTTGGTCCTCTCCAGCTCCACCTTCTACCTTTAGGCTGAACTGTGTGTGCCCTTTCTCTCTCCAGAGGAGGCTCCTGCTGGCACCATTGGACACCTGTGCCACATACTGCCACCAGACAGAGAGCTAATGCAAGCCATATGGGCCCTGAGGAGACCCAGGCCCTGTTCCCCAGTCTGTACCCTGAGCCTCCCCCTTCGCTCTCTGGGGCCAGAAGGCTCAGCACAACTCCAGTTTCACCACAGCTCCTCCTGCAGCTGACCCAGACTGGGATCGTTTCGGGAAACACTAAACATGGGTGAAAAGCAACCAGCCCCTTCTTGCTGTCCGGGGACTGAAGTGGGGCAGATAATGCCTGGGCAAGACCACCTAGCCCAAGAGTAGGCCCCTGAATGGCCAAGTGCTACCCGACCACTCCTTCCCTCCCTCCCTCCCTCCCCCAGCCATCTTTCTCCTCCTCCAAGATCCTCCCTCCCGCGCCCAGATACAAGCTAGCGCTTACTCCTCACATTCCTGAGAATCATAAATCCTCCTGGGAGGCCGAGCAGCCGCCACCATCACCGAGAGACCTCTGCACCTCCTCCCCACACTCCACCCCCACATCGCCCTCACACGGTGGGGCTTCCTCTCTTTCCGTAGAAGTCACACCGGACTTCAGGAGGAGGATGAAGTCCAGCCGGCTGAAGTTAATGATACACACACCAGCGGGCTGGAGGGGAGGTGCGGAGATAGCCCGGTCTGCGACCTCTCCCCTCCCAGCGCCGGGGCTCCGCACAGAAAAGGGTTCTTATTCCTCTAGTTCTTTGAAGTCGGGTGGCGGAAAAGCCGACCCCGGGATGGGCGGAATTAGAGGTTCCCCCAAACCCGGGAGCAGACACTACCAACAGAACCAAGGAAAATGGGACTAGGTTCCTTTGAGTCGCCCTCCCTCACTCCCACTTCCAAAGGCCAAGGAACAAGTGGTAAAAAAAAAAAAAAAAAAAAAGCTAAGACCCAGCCCAGTGTGGAGAGGGGGTGGGGGGTCGTGGGAAGCAGCCCCAAGCTTGCAACTGCGAGAGCGCCGGGTAGGCGGGCGGAAGCCGTTTCCCCCTCGAGGATCAAGTTGCAGAAAGACAAGGCGGGCGCGGGGCCGCCTGGGTCTCTCCCCGAAGCTCCTCTCACCCCCGTTCCTGACTCACCGCCCGGCCCGGACTCCTCACTTACCCGCTCGGGTTGGCTCTTCTCGGACTCACGGGGTTCCGGCGCGGCGGCCTGCGGCTCATTTTCGCCGACAGACTTCTTCTGTGCCTCGGCGGCGGCCGGGGGCTCGGCCTGCCCGGGCCCTGGCTGGGCGTGGAGCAGCTCCTCCCGAATCTGGACGCCCAGCTTCTGCAGCCGCTCGTCCGTCTCGGGGTCGACTACCAGCAAACGCACAGCGTTGAGCGCTGCGCGGATGCGGCTCACCACCTGCTGGTGGGTCTCCTTCTCTACGTTCTCGCCGTTCACTTCCACCAGCCGGTCTCCGGCCAGCAGCCCCGCCCGCTCGGCCGGCGAGCCGGGCTCCACCAGTCGGATGAACTGGCCCACCTTGCCCTTTTCGCCGTGCAGATGGAAGCCGTAGCCATTCGGACCCTTCTCCAGGCAGCAGAGCCGGGGCAGGGGCGCCCCGGCCGCCGCGTCCGCGCTCATCTTGCCCTGCGACGGCTCAGCGGCGCGACGCGGGGTCCTGGCGAGGGCTGGAGACGGGACGGTCCAGCCCTTTTTCCAGCCCTGTAGACGGAGAAGGTGGAGGGAGTGCCGCAAGAAATCTCCGTGCCGGCGCAACGAGCAGGTGGTCGGAGAAAGGAAGCCGCGCAGTGCAAAGAGCTGAAATGTACGAGCGCGCGGACCAATCCCCGCCCCGCGCGGCGTCTGAGCGTCCCAGAGGCCGCCCCGGCCCCTATTTTACAGGGGGCGGGGCCGCACCGAGGGTGTGGGCCACCCCAGGCCAATCAGGGGCCACAGGCAGGGGGCGCTCTGGCCGGGTGAACGACGCCAGCCAATGAGAACGCGGAGGGGCGGGGCCGTGCCGCTCCGCGCGGCGCCCAGCGGCGGGAGAAGAAAGAGTGCTCAGGAAGTGGAAGTGTTTGTTAGCAACTGGCCGGAGTTGAGGCGGGGGGCGGGGCGAGTTCCCGGTACTGGGTCGAAGGGCCCGCAGGCTCGGTTCTGATTTCCCCCATCTCTGTGTGGCCGGGATGGAAGAGAGCCAACCCGTGAGTAAAGGACCCTAAAGTTTTAGCGGCCTTTAGCCAAAACTTTGTATGTAACGTCAACTTGGGGGGCGGGGCGGGGGCGCGCAAACGTTGCCAGGGAAACCAATCCCGCGCCCGGGCTGCGAGGTCCCAGCGGGCTTACAGAAAAGACTGAGGCCCACCTGGGACTCAGTAGAGTTGTTTGAATAACGAAGCCTTCCGTTTGTGGGCTCACTCTGTGCTGGCCCAGGACCTGTTTATAGGGGTGCGTGCTCTGATACTCACTGGGACTGAGGGCTCAGAGAGGCTTCGCGGGACTGCATTGAAGAGAGGCCACCTAGGGCAACGGCATGGGCATTGGCGTTAGCTTTTGACCAGAGAAATTGGGGGTGGGGACAGGCAGAGCAGAGTCAGGTAACCAACCTCAGTACAGTTTACAGGGGCAGGGGCCCTGGCTTTCTTCAATAAAGAAAAAATGACTAGGACCGTAAGATAAGCCTTTCAGCTCCTTACAGATAAGAGGCCGGTCACAGAGGCTAGGCAGTCTGTGAGAGGGTGAGGTGACTAGTTGGGGACATTGAAGGATGAGGATCAAATGATTTTGGCAGTTAATGACAGTTCCTCCAATAAACACTAACCCTCCTTTTCAACACGATCCCCTCTCCTGGGCGCAACTCAAAGAAACAGCGGACAAGATGTACTTTCCAAAATACTGCAATTTAATTCTGAAAAAAACAAACACCAAAGGCCCAGAGCAGCCCATGGTACTGGATCCCTTTTGACCTGCCTTGGGCAAGGTCAGGCTCCTCCCTGCTCTCCCCGGGAGAGGCCTCCAAGAGCTTCCTTATCAGGGCCCAAGTTGGAGCTGCTGACTCTGCTCAGACAAGATTTCTGCCTTGAAAGCAAATGCAGTACCCTCAGAAATGTGCAGTGATACCTCTTTCCCACCCCTCTCCTCTGCCCCTGTCCTGGGGAGCTGGAGTTACGGTGCCTCCAGGTCCTGACATTCCCATCTCCTATCCCCTTCCAGTTGCTGGGGTCGGGGCTTTGGGAGACGTGTTACCCTAGTCTCACGTAAACTCTTGCTGCCCCTTTCCCCTCCCCAGCCTTACCCACATGACCTTGTTTTGCACACATTCTGGTTAACCCAGAAATGGATGACCTCTCATTCCCTAGCCTGTCTCAATAGGAAGAGAGAGAGGCAGTTTGGGCCCTGGGGCCTGTTTGCGAAGAAAAGGGCATGGGTTAAAGGAGAGAGACGAGTTGGGTTTAGGGGGATACACATGGGGTGAGGTTTGCTTCCCACCTGCTCCAGGAGTTAGGGGTTTCCCTTTACTGGCTCTTTACCCAGTGGAAGCACTACAGCTGCTTGAAGAAGTAGCGTGTGGACTGCACACCTGCCCAAGGGTTGAGACAGGAGAAACCTTTCCTTCGCTGTGACCTTAGGTGTCTAGGGGCATAGGCAGAAAGGAAGGTAAGTAAGACTAGGGATTCAGGGAGATCCAGAGATAGAAACCAAATGTTTCCAAGTGCCCCATTGTGCTTGTGGGCTGGAGGAAAAGGGGTACACCTCCTAAAGCAGGCTAGTAAGGCTAGAGGTAGCCAAAAAGACCCCATCTGCTACTCCTCTCCCCCCTCCCAGGGAGGGAGCTGAGCCCCTGCCCAATCTCCATATTCCTTGTCTTCCCTGATAAGAGATAAGCTTTGGTTGAGCTTCCAGCACAAGGGCCCATCTTACTGGGGAAGAGTGTTCCCTGGGAAACTGGAGGAAATGAAGGTTGGGGTCCACTCAGCTTCTCTCCAGATGAAGTGAGGGTGGGAACAGGGTCACTGCCTGCCCTTATGCCCCAGAAGTGCATGTTCTTGGTAGTGAGCTGGAGCAATACTGCCCTCATCATGGCTAGGAGGGAGGCCCAGCCCCTAAGTCCTAGTATATACTGGAATGCAAAAGGCCACCAGGTCCCTACCTTGGTTTTCTGGTGCCCTTGTGTGTGTTAAATTATCTATCACTAAAATGAAATATAAATATTTTACCCTCTCTGGGGATGCAGGGAAGCTACAGGAACTAGGATAGGGGTGGTGGTACAGCCCCCAATCGGGAAGGGGCTGTGCACTGGGCCCCCAACTCTCTCCCCATTGGCTCAGCAGCTCAGAATCAACCAGGTCTGGGGGAGAGGGCTGCATTCTCCTGGGCCTCTGGAGCCTTCTCTCAGCCCCTTGGGAGTCACAAGAAGGAGCAACAGCTGGGCCGCTTCTTCTGGGACTCCACGTAGTCTCGAATCTGGAAGCTGGGTTCATCAGCCTGCTGCCCGGCTCTGTATTTCAGCTCCCTTAAAGAAGAAGAAGCACTGGGCTGGGCAGGGAGTGAGGTGCAGAGCATCCTCCCTTCTCCCATGGCCTGGGGCAAGTGGCCCTCAGAATGCAGAATGCAACTGAGCCCAGGGGCTGGGCCAGGGGCCAGGCCCTCCTGGATTCCCAGATGGTGCCACCCTGCCCTGCACGGTTCCCTTCCCTGCTCAGCTCTCACTTGGCAATGGCCAGAAAGGCTAACTCCACATTCATGCCCGTCTTGGCGCTGGTCTCCATGAAGGGAACTCCGTACTCCTGCCAGGGAGAGAGTGTCCTCAGGGCCAGCCTCTGGTTGCCCCCACCCGTCGCCCTGCCCACAGGCAGTCACTTACCCTGGCTAGTCTCTCTCCGTCCTCCGAACGTATCACCCTCTCACTGCTCACGTCTGCCTGTCGAGCCAGGGGGGTCACTCTGGGGAAGGAAGACTTGACCCCAGCTGGCCCCTCTCCTGCCCCTGCTGGCCCATCTTTTGCCCCAGGAGCAGGCACTGCCCGCCCTCTGCTGGTGGCCTGTGGGACTGTGGGCAGTATGATTGGCATGGGGCCAGGGTTTGCACCTGGTTCAGGCTGAGTTCCCAGCTCCCTGCCTTGGGATCTCGGTCCCACTTGGAAAGGTAACTCTTCTTGGTAAGGGTGTGGTGACCCAGCTTTAGGGGGGTGACAGTGGTTGGGCCTAACCCTTTTTGGTCTTAGCTCTGCATCCATGACCTTAGTCACTATGTTCTAACAGGGGCTGAGCAGCTGGGCAGCCCTGGATCTCACAAGTAGCAGCTTGAGGTTTCCCTGCAGGGGACCATTTCCAAAGCGAAAGGACAGATGAGATGGGGCGGAGCTGACAGGTAGGTCTCACCCTGAACTGGGGACTGGAAAGAGTCCTTTGCTGGAAGGCTGTCCAGCTAACACAGGGCAGCGATGAGGCTGCGTGGAGGTGGTGCTGTGGCAGCGGGAGAGGAGGTTTGGGGTGGGCTGGTCCTGCCCTGGAGCCACTCACCTTGTTGCCTAGCAGCATGATCACCACATCCCTCTGGGCGTACTCGTGAATCTCCGTGAGCCAGGCCTGCGGAAGAGGGTGAGCTGGGCTCAGGCTGAACACCAGCCATTCTCCCCGTCCCTTTCGCTTTTCCTTCTTCTGCCCTGTTTGATTATCCTGGGCTACTCACTGCCCCCGAAACATGGTGCCCTGTGCATTCTCTCATTTGTGTCCTTGTTCTGGCCTCTCTAGTCCTGAGTGGCCCCAAGCCCCATGCAGTTCTACAGAGATGGCAGAGGCTTTGTCTCATAAATCAGTGGGTAGTCACCAGCGATTTCCTGCGGAGGATTCTAAGGCCACATAAAGGCTCAGTGATCAAAAATACTGTGATTGATTAAGTCATGTCTGCCATGAGCATGGGGTTGGGGGTGGCAGTCTGAGTGCCATAGATTTCCATCCTCTTTTTAAAATTTATTTTAGAGATGGAGAAAGGGAAAGAGAGAGAGAGAGAGAGAGAAACATCAATGTGAGAGAAACACTGATCGGCTGTACCTCATATGCACCCTGACCGGGGATCAAACCCACAACTTAGGTTTGTGCCCTGATCAGGAATTGAACCCACAACCTTCCGGTGCGTGGAATGCCACTACGACCAACGGAGCCACATTGGCCAGGGCTCCATCCTCTTTATAAGCCGTTTTATATCTGTATGTCTTGTTCCCGTTTGCTCGTCAACCCCTTGAGGTCAGGGAGCACGTGGAACCTTTACAGGGCTACGCACAGGGTCAGTGCTTATATTTGTTGAATTGTGATCTACTTTCTTCAATAGTTTGGTGGTGAGGACAGAGCCACTCACTCTGTCTGCCTCAGTCACTTTCTTGCACCTTGGGCTGGATGTACGGATAGACTTCTCTGCCTGGGCTCTCCCCTTGGTCTCTGGGTAATTGCCCAGGTTGGAGCTGGGTACTTTATGAACTTTCGTCATGAAACACTCTCATGAATCACTGTCAGGGCCAAGCAGGGGCCTGGCCTCCGTGCCCATGTGCCCATCAGTACCCAGGGGCAGCTTATTACTTCTGAGTCACAGCTCGGGCACGTTTCCAGGGCAGCAGTGTTCTGCGCTCCACTCCTTCCCACAGCAGGGAACAGTCCTGGCCTCCACAGGCCCTGCTTCGGCTGCCGTGGGTGGTGGACGGAGCGACCTACCCGGATGTTTTCGAAGGAAGACTTGCTGGTGATGTCGTACAGCAGGAGCAAGGCTGGAGGGGGAGAGAGAGATCACACAGAGACTTGGAGCGGAAGGACGGACGTGCCCAGTGGGCCGGCGAGGGAGCCGGAGTGCACGAGGGACTCACCTTGGGCGTCTCGGTAGTAAGCGTGGGTGACACTGCGGAACCGCTCCTGCCCTGCGGTGTCCCAGATCTAGGGAGGGATGGACACGGGGTAGGAGAGAGAGGTGGGAAGGTGGGCTCTTTCCTTCTCTAGGTTCTCATGGGCTTCTGAACACCTGATGATGTCCTGTGTGGTGACAGGTGTTGAGCCCTCAAGCTTATTCAGTGCCGTGGCCTCTGCCCCAGCCTCCTGGAGCAGATGACCCGGGACACGGGAGGAGAGGGAGCGAGCCTAAGCTTGTCTGAAGGCACTCTGGGCTGCCCTCGCCAGGGGCAAGGGAGCCTGGGAGCTGCTTTTTCCGAAGACATCAAACAAAAGCCAGTGGCTGCTTGTTGTGGGCCCCACAGGAAATCACCCCAGGCTGAGGGCAGGGCCACAGGCCTCCTGTGGTTCGGTGAAGAGCAGGGGCAGTCCTCCACCCCCCACGAAGCCTCCCGTCTCACCTGCAGCTTCACCCTCACACCGTCCACGGTCACCACCTTGTTCTGCGAGAGAAAAGGCAGAGGGACGGGGGTCAGAGGGAAGGGCAGTCTTGGCTCCTGCGCTCAGCTGACATCCCACTGAGGAGCAAACATCCTGTCCAGGACTAGAGGGGCTGTGGTGAACCTCAGGGATGTCTCCAGCCAGATCACCCCATCAGGGCTCCCACCGAGGAGCCCTGTCTTGTGGGAACTCCGTCTGCTCTTCCCACAACACACCAGGGTAAGGGGAACCTGAGAACCTGCCTCGGTCTCCCCAGGGCTCAGCAGGTGGCACAGGGCTGGGAAGTGGGGATCCTGTCCCTTCTCCACTTCCGTCTGCCCCTCCAGGCACTCAGTCCCATCCTGCAGCCAAGCTCTTAGAGGTGAGGTGCCGCCAGCATCCTGGGGACCTCCTCCGCCAGCTGCCTGCTGATTCTCCTCAGTGGAACTTCGCTCCCCTCCTGCCTGACAGAACCTGCAGGGGCCCCTCGGGTGTGCAGTGCTTAGGGTGCTCAGCGGCCCCCGATTAGTCAGGAAGGGATCCTCAAGGTAGAGGAGGGACCCAGCAAGCTGCTGTCTCCCAGCTCGCCAGCCCAGCTCTTCAACCTGCTGCAGCGCGTGCTTCCTGGAATGCTCACCTGGGAAAGAGGGTGAGCTCCCGAGGCCTTGCCAGAGGAGCCCAGCACGAGGGCACCGAGCAGGGGGCTGAGGGCCAGGGAGCCCGGCTCACACCTGCCACGTCTGCCCTGCTGGGGGCTGAACCTGAAGACTCAGCCTCTGTTTTCACATCCTGTAGTGGGGCAAGGAGCCCACCAAGCCCAGACTCATCAAACCTGTCCACCTCAGTGGTCCCTGGGGAGCAGCCCTTGTGCCCTCGGGGCAGTGAGCCACAGCTGTCCTGCAGAGCCAGGACGGGCAAGGAGAGGGCAGTGCCCCCGTGCCTGAGCCCTAGCCCCTGGCTCGCTGCTGGGAGGCAGAGCCTGCGGCCACCTCACCCTGAAGTCTATGCCGACGGTGGCTATGAAGGTCCCGGACAGGAAGGCCCCGTCTTTGAATCGGATCAGGAAACAGGTTTTCCCGACGCCCGAGTCTCCCAGAAGCATCACCTAGGAGATGGGGGCAGAGGCAGTTAATGGGGAGTTGGGGCACATTTCTGGGCTTCCAGGGAGAGAGGCCCTGGAAAGGGGCAGAGGGTGAGGGGGATGCTGAGGTGCCGGGGGCATCTGCTTCTGGAAAGCCTGCTGCCGCCTTCGCTGCTCCTTCCGCCGCCTCGCTGGCCTCGCAGGCTCCCTCTGCCCTCCTGCCCTCACCCAACTTCCTGGAAGCTTCTTACGATTTACGTGTTTACCGAAAGGTTGCATACATTAGGGAAGGGGAGGTTCAACTTTATACTGAGGTGGGAAGACATTTAGTCTGAAGTTCTTGCAGCAGAGACCTCCCACGTGGGACAAATAACCGCAAATTGGCGTCATGGGGTCACTGTAGGGCAGGGAGGAGGGGGCAGAGGGTTGTGTTCCATCCTTTTATTGCTCGGCCAATCTCTGCTCATCTTCTCTGGGGAACATGCGGGGTCGGGAGGCGAGCCCTCTGTCCAGATATTCCTCCATATTGGAGAACAGGGGTATAGATCTGACACTGGAATTTTCCCAGCTGGCCGATGAGATACTTAGTGGGTCGAACAGGGACTAGGTTTGAGTTATTCTTGACAAAGGCTGTCCTGCTGTGCACATGGGGTACTGGGATGAGCTGACTGGTGCAGAGGTAGGGGGCTGAGCAGAAGGTAGATGAAGGCTGGGGTCCTGGCTTGGGAAGGGCTTACTGGGGGACCGGGAGGACTCTGTAGCTGTGGCATTGTTTCCACAATGGCTAGAAGGAGGAGGGATGATTTCTTGGAGGCCTTTCTAGAGTCTGTTAATGGCTAGGACCAAGAATGTTGACGTGGATCACTTAAGACTTAAGAAGAGTGGCCCAGGGGTGTCCTGCCTGCTGTAGCCCCATCCCTTCTAATGCAGCCCAAGGAGCTCCTGACAGGCTCCTCCCGGGCTGTCTTGGACCCAGTGTCCTGGGGCAGACCTGGGGCCAGCCTGAGGCACAAAGGTGGGTGGGGGCCAGGGGCCAACTTTCCACAGATGCTGCTTGGCCCAGGGGACAGATGGAGGGGCTGGGGAGCCCTCTGTAGCCACACTGCTCCTTGGTCCCTGGTCCCAGCCCCGATGACGGAGGTAAGGAGGGTGAGCTCCTGTGTACTTTACAGATCACAGCTGCCTTGAGCAAACGATGCTAGTCACCTACGAGCCAGGCAAAGCCACTAAACACAAACAGCTGCCCAGCCTTGCCACCTCCTAGGCAAACAGCTGGGCTGGCTTGTCCGGCAAGGAGGTCAGGTGGTCCTCCACAGCCTGAGGGCTGGCCCTCCGCAGCTTCCCTCCCACTGAAGGCCCAGGGGCCCATTTCCTGCCCGGAGCCCACACAGGACGCCTATCTCAACGGCTTTGGGCGGCTGACTTGCAGAGTGGCTTCCCCTGAAACTGGGGGTGGAGGCCCCAGGTTCCTAGTTAGAGTGAGCCCCTGCATGTGGGGAGGAAGCCAAGGCACAGAGGAGGCAGGCCCCTTGCAGCCGGAGGCAGGACGGCCACCTCGCTGAGCCACAGCCAGCCGAGACCAAAGGATGGCTCGGGGTTCCCTCAGCACCTCTTTCCGAGTCCCTGGCACCTGCCTGCTCCAAGGGTGGGGAGGAGGGCAGACAGACCAGTGTCCACCGCCACCCTCACCTGCTTCTGGACAAGGTCACCCTGTAGAGGGACCGAGTCCCAGAGAGCTGACTTACAGCTCCCAGGTGGGGACTGACTAACCCCTGAGCTCTTTCTCCGGTTCTAAAAAGTCCCAGGTGGGCCTGCGTTCTGGAAGAAGGTGAGAGGCAGTAGTGGAAAGAGGAAAGATAGGACTTGGGGGCAGCTGGGACCTAGAGAGTTTTTGTGCTAAGGAACTGGACGTCAAGTGTCAGCTCAGAGCTTAGGTGGGAAAAGGGCATTCACTGCAAGGTGCTCCGCCGCCAGGGGCCGTCCTCTCCGGGTGTCCAGGCCCCGGGGGCCTCCTACAGGTGAGTTCACCCTTCCCGAGAAGCACGGGGGTCCTGGGACTCGTACTAGCTGGAGTGTGGCAGAAGAAAATTGGGTCGGGGAGTCACTTCTGGGCTTCCTCTCCCAGCCCCGGCTGAGCCAGCCCAGGTACCAAGAGGTTGGGGTGGGCCTAGGGGCTGAGTCTCCACCCTCCCCCTGAACTCTGGGACCCTCGGCTTCCTGGGGGAAGGAAGGGCTGAGCCCAACGCAGACGCAGCCAGAAAGGGTCTCAGGGCAGGGAGGGGTGGCCCTCAGAACCAGCACAGGGGTCCCACCGTTGGGCGCAGTGCCCACCCACCTTGAGCGTGAGATCGTAGCTCGGAGTGCAGGGCGGGGAGAGCTCGGGGGCCTCGCCATCCTGGGTGGCAGCGGCGCCAGGCGTGCCCATGTCCCCGGACCAGAGGTGAGCTAGGGCTGGCGGCTCGAGGGACAGAGCACAAACAGCTCTGCCTTAGCTCCACCCACTCCTCCTACCCTTCACCACCCCTGCCAGGACCCCGACAGGCTCCTCCCTCTGTCCCGTCAACCCACGACACCGTCGGGGCGGGCTGTCTCACCGGGGCGCGGGACCGCAGGGTCAGCGCCGGAGGGGCAGGCGGGCCCCCTAAGCAACACTGACCCGGCTTCCAGCTCTGAGGGCCTCGGCCAAATGCACCCCTAGGACTGGTTCCCCAAAGTCACCAGCCGTCGGGGCTAAGTTCCCACGGAAAGCGGTCCCGGGAGACCCTGTGCCTACTGCGGAAGGTCTGGCATCTTTGGGACCCGCACACCGGCGCCAGGTTTTCCGCTGTCGCTGCGCAGCGCGGCCAGCAGGCGGCGCCCGAGCACAGCCAGCCGGCGGTCAACAGGTGGCCCCGGGTGTGGGTCCGGGAGGCTGCGACGCCCCGGACCTGCGCAGTGCTGCGTTTGAGAGTAGGTGTACACTTGGAGGAAAGCGCCCAGGAAGTTTCACCTTTATTAATGCAGCCCAGCCTGATATCATGTGAATATAATTGTATTTACCTACCAGATAGTTACCTTGCAGCACATGGCCCCTGCTTGGCTGGTGTTTGAACTTTGACCCCTTAGTGTGGACGGCCTCTCATTTCTCCCTGACCTGCTGAGCGGTAGCGTCCGGAATGCCCCACCGGGAGAAAGCCTTCCCGGCACACCCCTAGCAGTCCAGGCGACGCTGAAGGCACAGCTGGCCTTGTTACCCGTGCCCCTCCACCTTCGCGGTTAGTAGGCCTTAAACGTTTGGTATCAGATGAATTCATGAGGTTGTGAATCATTCTGAGCAGAGTCTCCAGGACATGCCAGGAACCCTGCAGCTCCTGGTGGCAGCGGGTAGGAGTGTGTCCTGGGTTGCTCATAGCAGAGCTCAGGGGTTCTGTGGGCTGGCCAGCCATCAGTTCCGCCTGTCCCAACATTCTGCAGCAAGCACAGCACACGGCACAGAGAGGGTGCATTATAAAGGAATTCTTGGAGGGGTGTGAAGGGAGGAGGGGTGCCTGCACCTCTGTACTTGGGTGTTGGAGGTGAGGGGCGAGAGGCAGGCTTTTGGGGACGATGTGTACACCCACCTCCAGCCCTGTAACTTCTGGAGTTATTTTCTGGAGGTGGGCACGCCATAACCTCATCAGTACGCGTGGTGGGACGCCGGCGGGGGGCACGGATGGGAGAGGAGAAGCTGCGCGGACGATGGATTTACAGTCTGTCTGGAAGGCAAGAGGAAGCCCCTGAAGGGGTGGCCGGGTGGCGGGTGAGAGAGGCTTTTGGAGGATGCGTTTTGCAGCAGTATTTAGGCAAGACTGGAGAGTTCAGGGAAGGACCTGAACTGGGGTGGGAGAGGGGCTGGCTAGAAAGAGTACTGTGTGGACCCCATCGGTGTCAGCACCCCAGTAAACCCATCAGCAGGACTTGCCAGCCAGTAAGGGAGCTGGTCATGGAGTTGGGGAAGACCTTGACCTGAGAGGCATCCGCACAGGACCTGGGCAGGTGCCACTTCCAGAAGGCAGCAGGCCTGGTGGTTTCTTGGGTGAGGGTTGCTCCAGGGGCCCTGGGAGCTGGCCTGAGGGCCCCCTAGGTAGCCACTCATCCTGTGTCACCCCACTCATCCTGTGTCACCCCACTCATCCTGTATTCTTTAAAGCGGAAGTCCCAGGGCTCCTCCCCTCTCCTGCTGCCCTTAGGCTGGCTGGCTGGCTGGAGGCCGGGCCCTCTGCCTCAGTTCCATCACACGAATGTCGCCACAGCCGGGCCAGCGGGGGTGGGGCACTTGGAACTGCCGGTTCTAAGCAGTACTTGCGATCTCCACGTGAATGGCCGATGGATAAGCAGCAGTAGCCTGGCTCTCTGGGGCCCCCCAGGCCAGGGATATTTGAAGGTCCTCCAGCCCCTTTGCTCAGCAGGTCACGGGACTGTAGCTGTGCCAAGAGCCAGCTGCTCGGAGCAGCGGGTCCGGAAGAGCTGCTGCGGGGAAGGGAAGGGACGGGGGGCCCTCAGCACAGGCGGAGCAGTGGGCAGGGGCTTTCGGAGGAGACGGACATTTTCTCGGCCACGGCCACAAACCTCTTCGTAAATGGGCAGCTGTGTCTAGGCCCGGGGTCGGCCGTGTGTTCTCGGGTGGCTACTACCACGGGCTGCCCTTGCGGCTCCCCCCTCAGCATGTGGGGCGCCCTGGGTGTGTGTCCGCTGGTGCTCTTGACCCGGGAGTCCCCCGGCTTGGGCCTGGGTTGAGCCTTCAGACCCTCACTCAGTGGGAGCTGCCCATGGGTTCGTCCCAGGTGAGTCCGAGCTTCCTGGTGCTGACTGGTGCCACGCAGTCAGCAAGGTCTAGATTCTAGAAGGTGCAGCCCGGGGAGAGAGGGGGAGCCTGGTCTGTCCTGTCTCAGGCGGCTTCAGAATGTCCATTTAACCACACTCGGGGTGCCTCACTTTTCCCACCAGGCTAGCGGCAACATTTGGGGGAGTCCCATCCCTGTGCACCTGTGGAGTGTGCATCAGAGTGTGTATACCAGTAGCCACCCCACGCTCTGCCCTCTGAGTCTGCCAGGTGGGAGGATGGGCGCGGAGTGGGTGCGGAGACTTGAGTGTGACAGGGCATTGTGTGCCGTGTGCTGAGGGGGCAGCCCGTACCAGACACCCTGGGCCACCTCATGGAAGGCCTCAGGGGCCGTCAGGACAGCCCGACCCTCCTGGGACTCGGCCTGAACGCTGGAGCCCGGCTGCTCCCAGGGCCCGGAGAGCCCGGCACTGGGGTTTCAGGCTGGGTTCCAGGCCCCACATGGGGGCTGGGCCCTCATTGCAGCTTCACTTTGAAGCCCTGTTCATCGTGGGCCTTTGCCTTCCTCTCTGTGGCCCAACGGGCAAGCTCAGCTTCTGGGGTTCCCTTCTCTCTTTCCACAAGCGTGACCTGACTGTGTCCCAGCCCGTGTGTGGCCTTGGGGGTCTGTGCTCTGCTTGGTCCCACAGGCTGCCCCCAAAATGACATGTGCTCTTCCCCAGGATTCTGGAGACCTCAAAGAAGGGCCCTGCAGCTCCTGAGAATCGTCCAGGAGAAGAGCCAGCCCCCCTCCAGAGGGCTTCCCAGGGTCAGGTTCCGGAGAGCAGTCTCGGTGAAAGTGGAGAGAAAGGCGAGGGGTGGAGGGAGGGGGAGGGAGGCCTTGGACCCACGAGGGGCTCGGTTTGGTACTACTTCCCTAATCGGAGCTGCCCCTGTGCTGTGTCCAGGGAGAGACCAAGTGCTAAAAACGGAACTTGATGCCCTGGCTGGTTTGGCTCAGCGGTTGGAGCGTTGGCCTGTGGTCCAGAGAGACCCGAGTTCGGTTCCCGCTAAGGGCACGTACCTCGGTTGCAGTTTGTCCCTGGCCCTGGTTAGTCGTGCGGGTGGCAGCCACTCGATGTGTCCCTTTCACCTCAATTTTTTTTTCTCTCTCTCTCTCTTCCTCTTGCTCCCTCCCACTCTATCTGAACAAAAAAAATGGAAAAATGTCCTCGGGTGAGGATAAAAAAAAAACGGAACTTGAACCTTCGACCAACCAGTGCCCTCGGACCACAATGCTACAATCGCGCTGTTTTTAACAGTCTGTGCCTTTGCCTCCAGGTCCTCATTACCTTGGGGGTGGGCACGAGCAATCCCACACCAGCATATTCCCCTGCTTTCCAGCTTGGAGTTTTGTGCAGTGGGGGGCAGGGAGCCCCATATGGGGGGAGCAGGAGGTAGGCAGTGGGTGGGGGAGTTACTGGGCGTTGCTGTGTTCCTGCACCGATGGTCACATTTCCTGCCCCCCAGCCCTCTCCACACAGCTCTCTGTCCGTCCCTGGGTCTGTGATGGTTCCCTCCTGCGACCTCCTTTAAGCTTGGGGGAGGGATGCCCTGTAATGACCCCAAAACCCTGTACCATCCCTCCTGGTTGCCCAAGACCCCGCCTATACCTTGGTAAATAGTCTTTTTATTAAACCTCCTTGAATGATCCAACGTCCACCTGTTTCCTGCTGGGACCCTGACAGAGGCAAACAGGGCCCCAGAGGCTGGGACTACTTACTGTGAATCCGATGCCCACAGTGGCCGAGAAGGAACCGGGGATGAACTTGCCCTGGTCGAACTGGACCAGCAGAGATGTCTTCCCCACGCCACTGTCGCCCACCAGGATGGTCTGAAAGGGAGCAGCAGAGAGGCGTGAGGGCCTGCAGTCTGCATTAGGCTTCTGTGAGGATGTCGTGGCTGGGACAGTGGGTTACTTGAAAACACACATACACATGTGTGCACACACCCACACACACACACACCACATACCAACGCACACAGATGCATACATACACAGAGGTACACACAAAAACATACACAGAAACACACACACAGATACACACACACACAGATACTCATACACACAGATACATATATACACAGAGGGTACACACACACACACACACAATTTTCTATTAAAGTCCCTGAAGAAGACACGAAAGCATCTTGTTTCACCCCAAGTTAATAAACGTCTGATGTGACCATGAGACTATACCTCTCAGACTTTCAGCCTCAGGGGAGCGACTGAGGGAGCAGGGCGGCATTCACGGGAGGAAGAAGTGGGGGGGTTCGCACTGAAGTCCAGGTGCGGTGTCATTCACACGTAACGGCACAAGAATAAACTCTGTGCTTCGTGTACTCACAACCGTAAACGCACAGGTGCCCCCCCAGCCTGCGGCCGGCGGCAGCCGGCGAATGAGAGGATGAATGAGTGGACACACGTCCTGGTTTCAACGCAGACGGGAGCTACTTCTCAGAGGCGAGCGTCCAAGGGAGTTGGAAAGGCTGACGAGAGCCCATTACGTGGACTTAACAAGAAATAGACATGATAAAACCAAACTGTGAAAGTATGACGACCGTCAGGGGCTCCCTGGGTCGGACCCGTGACCCCAGCACGGTGTGCCTCTGACTGTGACCAGGTCGGCAGCAGGGCACACACGAGGCTGTCTACGGTGTTGACTTTGGACGTTCTCCACCTTCTCTCCCCAGACCAACTTCTTTCCAGTTTTACTGTATTTCCTCCTGGGTTCCAGGGCTCCGTGTGTTTGTTACGTGCAGTGACTTTAATCCTTTACATCTCAAATCCAGTTTCTTCAGGCTCAAAGAAATGCCTCCCAGAGAGAATATGCCACAATGTCAGGGCTCAGTCTCTCCACGGCCACCTCGATTGTTCATTTACTAAGGGATCGGAAAGATTCTAATTCATTTTCCTTTTATCCTTTTCTCCTCCAGGGTGAAGAATTCCCATCACTTTCTTCCCTCAGCACAGGAAAAGGTCCCATCTTCCTGGGGCCTTTCGTGGCTCCGTGGTTGAGAAGCACTGGTTTTAGTAGAGCACCTGCTTCAGGAAGGGATCTCTCATCACAGGTGACTGTAGGTTAATGCGAACTGGGTGTGATAGGGAGGCACCCAGCAAGGCCATTCGATCAAAGTCCCCTCTGTGTCTCGTTGCTAAAGATGGCCCAGCAAACATTTGTTTACCGTCCATTTGCTTTTCCATCTCCATGTGAATGACCTTCCTGACCCTTGAAGTCCCAAACGACTATTCCCCACTTCTCCTCCGTTCTTAGAAGGTGACAAATAGGCCTTATCTGTTCAGGGATCTCATATTCTTACGGAACCCCCACATGTACATGTTACACATTTGGTCATGTCCTTCTGTTAATCTGCCTCATGTTAATTTCATCATTAGTCTAGCCAGAAGAAGTTGAAAGGGTACGAGGAAAAATTAGTTTCTTCCTCACAGTGTTAGAGTATTTCAGAGGGTGTTATTGGCTACATTTTTCTTTTTATACTTTTCTGTATTAAGAAGCCCTAATAAACGTAATAAACCAGTTGATGAAGTATATTCACACATGATTGACCCTTTGTTTTACTTGGAGTGAACTGCTTTTCTACAGAAAAGAAACACACCACATATGTGTATGAGTGTTGTTGGTGGGGTGGGATTAGGGGTGATTTGAAATGCATTCTTTGTGTTCTCTGTATTTCATTATTCCTCTGCAACGAACACATGTTACTTTGTAACCATGGAATGTGTACATGTTGTTGGGAAGGCACATTGTGTTAGGACAATGCAGGTACAAACAAGAGGAATGCCAATGTTTAGCCTAACTGTTGCTGAGCAAATGCCTCATTTCAGTTTTCCAAATAAATCCAGCCCACTAATCATTGCTTTATTTATTTTTTATCTGTTTTTATTGATTTTTTAGAGAGAGAAACATGGATGTGAGAAACAGCGATCGGCTGCTTCTGCACACCCCCTACTGGGGATCAAGAGCCCGCAACTCACTCTTTGAGGACCTGTGTTTTTCTCGTAAATTAGCTTTGCCTCTGCCTAAATTCCCGGATGAGAGCTTGGCTGAGACAGTTTCCCATTCCACAGACTGCAGACCAAAGGGGCGTTATACCTGGGAAAGGTTGGTGTCATCAATACATGCTGGCTTACTTCAGTCAGTTTCCCGCTCATGACAACACTTTCTTTTGCTTTGGGAGAACCTGTTTTAGAGACAGCCGTGGAGTGAGTGGACACCCCAGGGCCAACCAGCTCAAGGATGCGCTGTCTTATTAACTCTTGGATGTCAGGTTTCTTCTCACTGTCAACAGGATCAAAGGGTAGCTGGCCTGGGGTTGAATCCTGGCTCTGCCAATTACTAGCCATATGACAAATTACTTGCTCTCTGAGCTTTGACTTTTTTAAAATTCGAAAAGCAGAATTAACATCACCTTCCCTCTGGATCTGCAGTGAGGACTCAATGTGATAACTACATAAAATAGGAAACGTAGCACATAATGGTTACTTGATGAGTTTTGGGTTGTCAGTTGATTGAAAAACTCCCTCAGGTGCTCAGCACGAGGGGCTTTCACGAGGGCGGGGCAGATGCTGGTTGTTAATGAGCCTCAATTAGCACTTCAATGGCCCCCAGGCTGGGGGTGGATCTCCGAGGGAGGGGCTGCTGCCTCTCCCCAGGGCCCTGGGAAGGAGCAATACGGCCACCGTCCTCGTAGCTGCCACTCGGCAAGAGCTCTGAGCGCCCTCCAAACCCCGAGTGTCCCGACACAGTCCCAGTCCAGTCTGCCCCCTCCGCCGGAGCCCCAGGTGAGTGGCTGTGGCTGTTTCAGCCTCTGTCCCGGCTGCGCTGTGGAGCCGCCTGGGAGTGTGACCCGAGGGCGCTGCTCCCAGCTGAGGCCGCTGCCGAGCTGCCGACCGTGGGCGCCCAGCCCCGTCTCGCGCCTTCGCAGTCCTACCGGGATGGAGTCAGTGTCCCTCGTTGTATGGTCCTCGCCAGCTGCTTTTCTGTTGCTTTTCCCCGTCGATCTGTCTGTGTTATAGTTGTCATTCCAGTTTGGTCCTGGGAGACGGTCTGCGCAGCTCCGCGCACTCCGCCGCCATGTTTTGTTCGCGTAGCACACAGTGGGGAACAGGGTGAAGTGTGGTTGGGACCCAGGTGGACCAAAAGGACCGGGCTTGAGAACAATTCTGGTGTATGGCTGGTTCTTTTTTTTTTTTATCCTCACCCGAGGACATTTTTTGTTCAGATAGGGAGGGAGGGAGAGAGAGGAAGAGAGAGAGAGAGAAACATCGACGTGAAGGGACACATCAAGTGGCTGCCACCCGCACGACCAACCAGGGCCGGGGACAAACTGCAACCGAGATACGTGCCCTTAGCGGGAACCGAACCCGGGTCTCTCGGGACCGCAGGCCGATGCTCTAACCTCTGAGCCAAACCGGCCAGGGCTGGTTCTTTTTTTTTAATCCTCACCCGAGGATATTTCTCCATTTTTTGTACAGATAGAGTGGGAGGGAGAGAGAGGAAGGGAGAGAGAGAAACATCGATGTGAAGGGCTGTGGCTGGTCCTTAGGGGCTAGACAGAGTTTCCGAGCGGAGCTTACAGGGCCAGGGGAAGAATGCGGCGAAAATAGTCATTCGTTTATTCATTTTCCATCAGTTATTTCTTTTTTTTTTTTTTTCAGGAGCATGTTTATTGTGTTTGAGATGATATATCAGGTGCTCTCTGAGCTACAAAGGGTAAAAGGAAATCCTCTCATTACAAACTGACAAAGGTAAAAGGTAAAACATTTTTCACAACAGCATTAACCACATACTCAGAAATAGATCCGGGTTTAATACAAATGACATAATTCCTAGTCATCTACGGCACTTTTATAACTTCATACAGATAATGAATTAGGCTAAAATGCACTATAATATTTGGTAGACTTCAGGACCAGTATCCTTAGTACATCACAAAATACATTTTGATATCCCAAAGAAGCAAGACTTGCAAGTAGGCATTTTAAACATAACTAATCTACAGCTACAAAGTTCTACTCTTGATAGCATTTACCTTTTCGGGAGTCTCCCAGTCTCCAAAGGATAAAAGCAGAGAGTAGAATCAGTATAACATATACACAGAAGTCCGTATTGTAAAGGCTGTAAAGATTTGCAGCACAGTGAGAAGATGCCTTCTGCTCCTTCACACTGCATGCAGATTATGTGAATTATGTCGCGTATCTCTTGGTCCACTGTCTGGCTATCCTGTCATGTTCTGCTCTGTTGGTCAAATTCTGAGTGGCTATGCTTCCAACCAGAGGATCCGCAGGGTTGCAGTCTGTCAAAAGAGAACAAATCGACAGCAAAACCTTTGAAATCGTCAAAGCAGGACTCCAGTTGTCTTTAAGGATGTCCAGACAGATGACTCCCTGACTGTTGATGTTGCAGGGATAGATTCTGGTGCGAAAAGTAACCTTTGGTGGCTTAAATGGATAATCGGATGAAAATGTGATATCCAGAAAAAACACACCACCTTCATGTACAGAACCTGGTGGACCAAGTATAGTTGATCTCCACTCATAAATGTCATCTCCTGTAGGCCCAGCACTGCAGTTAGGAGGAGGATCAAGGGTTATTTCAGCTGGCTCCTTCTGAATTCTTTTAGCACCAGTGGATAACTTAGCAGTCGTTTTGCTAGAGAGTTTGGTGTTTTTCTTCTGCTGGGTGGCAGAAGGTTTTCTTTCTTCTTGTTCTTCAGGCTCTGGAGCGGCTGGGTCCCGCTGGTCTGCATCTGAACTACCACTGCTGGTGCTGGGGCTCTCATCATCGGACCTTTGCCCTTCACTGGACATCTTGATGAAGTTATTACTTGGAAAACTTCTGCAAAGCTCCCAATGCCACCGAGGTTCCTCGCTCAATCTTTACATCACGGACCGACATTTTGTCCAAAATAACGAAAAATATATATACAGCAGAGGAAAAACAAACAAACAAAGCCCCAAGAAGTGCAACAAATTTCCGCCCCCGCGGAGGCCAGCCGCGGCCGGCGGGGGCTGCCACGCAGCTCCGCGGCCCTTTGTGGCGCCAAGTGATGCGAGCAGCCCGGCCGGCCCCGCCGCGGCTCGCGGACCTCCATCAGTTATTTCTTGAGCATCTACTATATGCCCAATGTGGTTTTAGCCACTGGGGATTTCGCCCTTATGGAACTGTAATCCAGAGGGGGGAGAGATGCAACTAAGCCGGCCCTTTCAGTACAGGAGCTCTGTCACCTATGAACAGATTGGGTTCTGATAATGGATGATCTGTAGTGTGCAAGTCTACACTGACCAAGAAGAATTTGGGGTTGCAGTCCCTGTATGCATTTCCACACAAGACAAATATCTTGGCGACATTTGTTTGTAGGACACGTCCCAAAGTAGACAGTGCTGTTGGCCATGAAAGTCCGTTGAGCAGTGAGTGACATGAACTCATGTAACACACCTGTGTTTCACAGTTTATTTTCCTAAAATCAACATGCATGGCTTTTGTAATTTTGACCAGCTCATTGTTTTGAATCGCAGCCACAGTTGTTTCTGTTGGTCTAAGTGACACCATTGTAGTTAGTTACTAGTAATAGGAAAGGAGCAGACGGAAGGCCAGGCATCATAGGCATGTCATCTGGGCAGCTTCACCAGGAAGCTGCGATTTTACACTCCCCAGGGAACCGTTGGTCCTTTCCCTGCAGAATCACTGGGGGAACGGGTCCAGCAAAGGGGAAATAGAGACGTGTGCAGTGAAGGTGGGGTGACAAGGGAAGGCACTTGCTTGACAGTCAAGCCTGGGGGACCATGGATTGGCCAGAATGGGTGGAGCCAATGCAAACCTGTGAAAAATTTGGGACTACAGAATCCCCTAAACAAAGGAATTGGCTTTCTTGTCACTCTTGGGTCTTACTGTTCTTGGCTTCCTCGTATTCCCCCGCACAGCTCACAGCCCCGTGGACCCCACATGCAATGGACCGATGGACTGCAGCAGGGACACAAGCTAAGCTACCTGATGCTGGACTGGACTGTACAAACATGGGAAGGAAACTAGACACTGGCTCTGATTGTAGCCCTACTGAAGCCACAGCTACACCCCTTCCTTGGCAGGGCAAAGGGAAGTGAGACCTTGGAACCTCAGGGATTGAATTCCTTGCAAATAAAAATCGCTTATTCTCCTGTACAAGTCTCAGAAAAAATTTTTTCTTGGGATATCACAAAAAATCCACTCCCATGAGCAATAGGTGGGGACGAGGCCCTCTCCCCACAAGTACACAAGGTCTATTCTGATCTGAACCACACGAGAAAGAGAGGCGTGGGCGGAGTGGGGGTCATCCTTGAGGAAGTTGGAGGGAAAGTCAGAGGGGCAGAGAGGAAGTAGTTGGGCGAACAGAAACCAGAAGCAGCTAAAGCTGTACAGAGCGAGAGGGAGCCAGTTGCTGAAGGGTGGGTTGTGGTTTTGAGGGATCTTCTCTAAATTTTCTATTGCCACAATAATGCTGCAATGGACTGCCCTGAACTCAGTGGCGCGGAGCAAGTTTGTGAGTCAGGAATTTAATCTGAGTGGTGCTTCTGGTCTCAAGTGGCTCCCTCGAGTGTCGGGATTGGTGGGCTGTTGGCTGGGGCAGCTTGGCTCTGAGACTCTCCTTCCCGCTGGCTAGCTCACGTGTTCTCACGCCAAGCAGAGGTGAATGAGCGCAAGAGGAAGTGCAGGAGGCCCCCGCAGGCCGAGGTCTGGAACCGGTGCCCCATGACGTCTACTGTGTTTTCTTGGGAAAGTAGGTCAAAGGTCTGGTCCGGACTCACGGGTGCGTAGACCCTGCCCTTTCAGTGAGAACAACTGTGGGGCCCGAGTGTGCTGGCATGTTTATAAGCCCATAATCGATGACTGGTAAATTATTGTGCTGCTCCAGAATTGATGATTGGGAAAGTCGCTGTGTGCCCTCCAGCTGAACCTGTTTAATCAAAACAACCTCAGTAAATTGAATACTCCCTGAACCAAGAAATAGTTGGGAGCCAGCTACGTGTCTGACAGAGTCCACGGAGCCTGGAGGTCTTGTCAGAGACTCGACCTCCCCCACAATCTCAAGGAATTGGGCCTGCATTGTGTTTGTGCAGCTCGGGGCTAAGTGTGACCCAATGTACCTTGAAATACCTGCGTGGGCCTGGGTGTTCCTGGGTGTTCCTGGGTGGGCCTGGGTGCTCCTGCTATCCATAAGGCAAACTAATTCTACACAGCATTGTCGTAGCCCTGGGCATCATATCAAGCAGATCCTATTTGCTGTCAGGTATAAAAGGCAGTAATAAAGCATATGGGGGCTGATTCCGAAGACTCTGTCGCGGGGGTGTTCGGAATCAGATGCCGGCCAGCTAATAAACGGCTCTTATTTGGACTTCAGTTCTCCAGTGGTCTTTCTTTGACTCTGTCGCGCCACAACATCTGGAGGCCCCAGGGCTGGTGTCCGGAACTCGGGGTCAGTCGCCGGCCGGCTTTGCTCTCTGTCTGGCTTTCATTTGGCTCTGGTGCCTCTGGGTTCTCTAGCGCAACAACACGAGGATAGAGGGCGGGACCATCTCTCACAGGCCCGATGCTTATGCAATGTTGAGGCCCCCTCTTAGGAAAAAGGACCTCAATTATGAATACAAAATTTGATACAGGGCTTTGAAAGGGGCCTGATCAAGTGAGGCGTGCTGACATTTAAGCTCCATCAGCCTCAGGGGAAATCTGCCACTGGCTCACTTTCACAAAGACACGAGAAATTTGAAGTCCCACCGAGCAGAGCCGAGGAGGAGAACCACGGTCATGCGCGCGCACACACACACACACACACACACACACACACACACACAGGTGCTTCGGGGCAGGGGATTCTCAGACGACGCGTTCAATCCCTCTCACGGTGGGAGCCTGGAAGTCTGGGGAGGTAACTGACTCATGCAGAAGTCAACGGCCAAGCCCGAACTAGGACCTCAAACAGGCCTTTGAGGACACAAGGCCCCCAGAAGAGCCCGACTCCCCTGTCGTCCCCGGAGGCACTTGTTTAGAGGAGCAGTCTTGCCATCACTCAGAGACAACCAGATGATTCCCTGTTCTTGATTCAAAGGGCAACCCCTGTCGGGTAGGCTGGGCCCAGGAGGGCCCCAGAGGAGAAGCTGTCACCGCTTACTCCCATGCCAAGGAAGGTAAGGAGAGCTGCTGCCTCTTGGTGTTTCATCTTCCCTGGGAGCCGAACACTGTCCCTGCCTTCAGAGACCCTGGACAGAGGATGGGCTTGCCGAGCACCAGGCTGTCACCCCGATTGTTGATCTTGTCGAGTGAAAGGCCAGCCCTGGCCACATCCTGGAAAACTCCAGCTAGTCAACCGCTGGGGTTTTCTGTGCAAATAGCCCTCCTGCTCTCTTCTTCATTCCTGATTAAGGTATGAGGAGCTAAGGTCCCTCCTCAAGATGTCACAGGGCGCGTGTGTGACGCATAGCGAAAATGGCCCCAGGAGCAAAATACGAGGAAGGCTCTTGTTTGCTAACCTCTGCGCCCCACCCGGAGGGCTTTCTGGGATCCTGATGGGGGAGGGAGACCAGGGACGGGCACAGAGTGGCCAGAGAGAAAGGAGTAAGACAGGCAGAACGGGTGTTTTTCTCTCCCTGCTTCAGCAGATGGATTTTATAAGGTGAGGGGTGAGGAGCGAGGGATAATGGCCATGAACAATGAGCTGGTTTCTTAAAAAAGTTATTGATTGATTGATTTTTCGAGAGAGAGAAGGAAGAGAGAAACATCAATTTGTTGTTACATTTATTCATGCATTCACTGGTTGCCCCTTGTATGTGACCCATAACCCTGGCATATCAGAATGATGTTCCAACCAACTGAGCCACCCGGCCAGGGCACAATGCGCTGGTTGCTTCAGTGAGGAGCCCTTGGCATTACTGGCGAGTTTATGGAAGATTCAGGCTGGGGCTGATGTCCATGGGCTCTCACCTGGAGGACTGGGGCAGAGCAATACGTTTCCTGTGTGTTCTCAGGACAGAGGCCCCTCTTGTCCCTTGGATGGCAGTGGCCCTTTCTTTGAACCCCTCTCTCTGCAGTCTGAGTTTTGATATCCCCTCAGCCTGATCTTCTTTCCAACTTGTGGTCTAGACGCCCTCCTCTCGCGTTCTGTCTTTGGTCCCAGCTCCTTAACTCCATTGAACGCCCGACATTCTGGGCTCCTGGGAATCTGGCTACACCTGAAATTCCAGGTTTAGGGTATTGTGTGCATCGCCTTGGCTCTCCGTTGGAGCTGGGTCGTCCCTGCCCCCATCTTCCCTCGAGAGAATTGAGGAAGAACTGCCCCATCTGGTGGGTCTGTTTCTGCACTTTCCAGAAGACGGAGCACCACTGTTCTCCTTTTAGAAAATCTGCTGTGGTCTGGGCAGGGAGGTATTACTTAAAAGCTTATTCACAATCACTACAACACTTTGCTCATTGAACCTTCCTCTTTTGTGCACCAGGGGGAAGTGGCTGAAGGAGGAAGTGTGAGCGCAACAGCGAGAAGGTTGGGAGGATGAAGGAGCCCAGTCTGTAGTCTGCTCTTGCTGCCGCGCTCAGCCCAGGGGGACGCGAGTGACGATGACGACGTACCTGCCGCTGCTCTTCCCCCTCTTCTGGGTTTCAGGTGAGTGGGGCCCGGGTGTGAACGTGGGAACCGCTCGTGGGCAGTGGAGGAGGGGCCCAGAGGGTGTTCTGCGGAGACGTGGACCCCATTTCTAAGTAGTTCCCCCAAGCCCCGGGCCTGGGTGTTCATCCACGTACTCGCGGCCAGCCTTTCGGAGACGCTGCCGACCAGAAATACGCAGCGTGGCTCTCACACGGGGCCAGCACGAGGTATAATCCTGACCACCCAGCGGCTGACCATTCAAAACGGACAGACGGATGGGCCCTGCTGGTCAGAGCAGAGGAACCCTGGCCGCTGGAGAGCAGGTGATGCTTGCTCCGGCCCTTCGGGAGCGTGTTATGAGCCAGGGAGGGCTTCGGGGAGGAAGTGAGGGGGAGGCACCCGAGGGAGGGAAGGAAAGCAGGGAGCTTGCCAGACAGGGAGGGGCAGGTGATCCCAGGTATTGGAGGGGGGAGGAAATGACAGCAGTGGCTGAGGGACTGGAGGAATCGAGGGGAGGTAGCTCGGGAGGCGAAGAGGGAAGGAGGGCTGCGATGGGGCAGCCACGGAGGGCTGAGGTGAGCTTTAAGCTGATGGATACCATTTTGATTAAAAATTCAGGGGATTTTCTTGGACATGTTGGAGGGCCTCAGGGCTTGGTGTTTGGGCTTCTTCTTTCTCGAGTCATTCCCTTGTTGAGCCTGTCCTCTCTGCTGAACGACTCTCTCCATACAGATGACTCCCCATTTTGTATCCCTAGCCTGGGCATCTTCCTATCTTCTCTCCCGTTGTCCACTGAACATCACTCAGATGGTGACATTTCAAATGTGACCTGCCCACACCTCCCCCTTGAATTCCTTTCCCTCCCACCTTTGCGGTTGGAACCTCCAGCCTTCTAGGTGAAAACCTGGGGGGCATCCATCTCCTCTCATACCCCACAATGCTCCTTTGGAAATGTAAGCCAGACCCCACTTCTCCTCTAGTCAACACCTTCCAGTGACCTCTCATCCTACTCAAACTCCTCACTGAGGCTATGAGGTGCTCATCAAGGTGACAGACCTTTATGGTTTGTGACATCATCGCTCTGGTCTCTTCTCTACTCTGCTCTCCCTGGTTCAACACTTCAGCCGCACTGGCTTCTTAGATGTTATTGGAACATGCTAAGCACACTCTTGCCTCAGGGCCTTTGCACTTGCTATTCTCTTGAGCCACAGGTTCCAGCACCTCACACCTTCTGTGTCTTTGCTTCTCACCAAGGCCTTCCTTGATGACCCTAATTACAATAACAATTTGCTTGTGTTATTTTTCTCGACTGTCTCCTCCCTTCTCCCACCTTGATAGACTAAGCTTCAGGAGGGCAGGGATTTTCGCCCCTACAACTATACCAGGTACAAATTAGACAAATAGTGTTAGTTGAATGAGTGAATGTATCTAATGGAGAGGAGACAATATGATTGCTGTAACCACCCACCCCCAAAACCAAATCTTTCTACTTTCATAGAACTGAACAATTGAGACTCTTAACATTAATTAGAGAGAGCATACATCGCTCATGGGAATGGACAATGGTGCAGCTACTTTGGATAATAATTTGACCTTCTTGACAAAGCTAAACACGTGGTTACCATGTGACCCAGCCGTTCCACTCTTGGTGCATGGGTCGACGCTCCACCACAGCCACAGCGGTCGGACTGGATCGTAAATACCCAAGAGAGCTGAAAACATATGTGCATGTAAAAACTTGGATGCATATGTTCATGGCGACATTCTTCAAAAGAGCCAAAAAGTAAACACAACCACATTGCACCGACTGCCAGACAGATAAATAAAACGGGGTCCACCCATACGATGGAATGCTAACCGGCCATAAAGAGGAATGAAGCCCCGACACAGGCGCCAGCGCGGATGGACCCTGAAAACTTAAGCCAAGTGAAAGAGTCCAGACACGAAAGGCCAACGCTGTCTGGGTCCATCCACAGGGCAGTCCAGAGTAGGTGCATTGAGCCGGGCTGGTTTGGCTCAGCGGTTAGAGCGTAGGCATGCGGTCCAGAGTAGGTGCATTCACAGAGATGGGGGTAGGTTAGTGGTTGCCTGGGGCTAGGACAGTGACTGCTAATGAGTAAGGGTTTTTTTTGTTTTTGTTTTTGGGTGGGGAGTGATGAAAATGTTTTGGAATCTGATTGTGGTGATATTTGCACGGCTTTGTGAGTGTCCTAAAATCCACTGAGTTCTACCCTTTAAAAGGGTGGATTGTATTTTTTTTCTTTCTTTCTTTTCTTTATTGATTTTAGAGAGAGAGGAAGGGAGAGGGAGAGAGAGAAACATGGATGAGAGAGAACATCGATTGGCTGCCTCCTGCGTGCCCCCCACTGGGGATCAGGCCCACAACCTGGGCACGTGCCCCCACCGGGAATCGAACCGGCGACCTCTTGGTACATGGGTCGATGCTCCACCACTGAGCCACAGAGGCCGGACTGGATTGCATATTGATAAGAGAACGATCAATGAGCAGAGAGAAGACGTGGGAGCAGTGGAGCCCCTCTAAGAGGTTTCTGGGTTGCCTCTGGGTATGTGCGTGGATCCGAGGCTCTGGAAGTGGGTGGTCATGGGAACCTGACAGCCCTTTATGGTTTTGACTCTTGTGTGGTCGAACTTGATAGTTTGGTCCGTCAGTCATGGACATGTAAGAAGTAGTACGTGCTGTGCCCGGACCGTGTGGGCGGGTGGGATGCTTTCGGAGGGCTGGGCTGCAGGAGCCCTCTGGGCAGACATCTGGGCGGACCTGGGAGACGAGGGGGAGCGGGTACCTAGGGTCATGCACAGCTTTCCAGGCACAGGGAACAGGAAGTGCCGGGCTCTGGTGTGGAAACGAGCTGGGCCCTGCTCGGCTGGGGAACAGAAAGGCCGTGTGGTTTTGCTACATGCTTCAGGGAGGCCTGGTGGGCGGGCTGAGGGGTCTGCCTCTCTGCCTGGGGAAGGGTTCTCGGGGAGGACTGTGGCTTGCCCAGCACTGCAGGCTGGCGGAGGGAGAGCTGGGGTGGGGTGTCGGTGTGGATTTAGAAAAGGCAGGTCTCGGGTGAGACGGCAGGGACAAGTTAGCGGGAACGCAGACAGGACTGCTTTTCTTCTGGTGTCTGCAAATAGGGGGACCCGAGGGCGGGCAGCTGTGAGCGGTGCCGGTTTGAGGATGTGAGAGAGGAACAGGATCGGTTGCCTCCCGAATGCACCCTCACCCGGGATAGCACCCAAAGCCTGGGTCTGTGCCCTGCCTGGGAATCGAACCTGAAACCTTTTGGTGCACAGATGACGCGCCAACCAACTGAGCCACACTGGCAAGAGCAGGACATGACTGTTTTCTTAAAAACATTCTTTAAATTGATTTTTAGAGCGAGGAAGGGAGTGGGAGAGAGAAAGAGAAACATCGATGTGAGAGCAGAACATGATGGATCAGCTGCCTCCAGCATGCCCACCACCCGCTGGCCAGGGCTGGGCGTGAATATACACATACATATACACATATATGTATATGTGTGTATAAATATGTATACACACATATACATATACGTGTGTGTATGTGTGTGTGTGTGTTTATATATATAAAATATATATATATATATATAAAATATAATTTTCTTTTTGTCCTCACCCGAGGACATTCTTGCATTCATCTTCAGATAAGAGCAGGAGGGAAAGAGGGAGGAAAAGAAAGAGAGAAACATCAATGTGAAAGGGACACATCGAGTGGCTGCCACCCACACGACCCAACCAGGGCCGGGGACAAACCACAACCGAGGCACGTGCCCTTAGTGGGAACCGAACCCAGGCCTCTCTGGTCCACAGGCCGCCGCTCTAACCGCTGAGCCAAACCGGCCAGGGCTGGCATGATTATTTTTGATACACACAAGCGCGTGCCGCTTTCTGAGCCAGCTCCGTGCCCACAGCAGCTTCTCACAGTGCCCGTTTCATCACATCCATGTCAGCAACTCCATGTTAGCCATACAAACTCAGCTGCTTTGACACTGGAAAATGAGGTCACTTTAAGATCTTTTCATTTGCTGTATTATTTAACTTGAACATTTCAAATTTCATTGTGCACCCGAATTTCCTCTTTTGTGAATTGCCTTTTGTAGCCTTTTATCAGTTTTCCAAATGGCATCTACCTAGTTTTCTTATCTACCCTCTTTATAAAGAGAAAGGATAGTAATCCATTTCTCCGAGTCTGTTCTTCACCTTTTCAGTCTTTTTTTTTTTTTATCCTCACCCGAGGACATTTTTCCATTTTTTGTACAGACAGAGTGGGAGGGAGAGAGAGAGAGGGAAACATCGATGTGAAAGGGACACATCGAGTGGCTGCCACCCGCACGACCAACCAGGGCCGGGGACAAACTGCAACCGAGGTATGTGCCCTTAGCGGGAACCAAACCCAGGTCTCTCCGGACCGCAGGCGGGTGCTCTAACCGCTGAGCCAAACCGGCCAGGGCTTCAGTCTTTTGTTTTTTATTGGTGTGTCCAAGTGTTACATTGACTACAGTCAAATTTCCCGACCTCTTACTGGGTGGCGTGCCCCATTAATTTTTCCATTTAGAGAGTTCTCTCCCTCTTTCTACTTTCTTCTTTCCCTCGTACTCCTCCTTCTGTCTTTCCCCTAACCTCTGGAATAAATGTTTGACTTACTAAATGTAAGCCCTTTTCTTCTTTTCCGATGTATGCGCGGAGCTGCTATGAAAGAATGTTTTGGGGACATTTGTCTTGACTTCTCTCAGATGAATATGTAGAAGGGCAATTGAAGGTCACAGGGCAGATGCAGTTTCATTGCGAAGAGCCTTCCCCGTGCTCCGCAGCCTTGCCTCACTTTACCCACCAGCAAGGCCCGGGAGCTGGCTGCCCTACCTTCTCCATCTGTGACGCTGGGCCTTTAAACTGGAGCCGTCAGTGGGTTTTAGGTGGTATCTTCCTGCAGCTTTAACTTGCATTTCTCGATGACGGAGGATGTTGTGCCCTTGGCCATTCGGATGTCTTTTTTGTGAAGTGTCCGTCAAGTCTTTTGCATTTTAAACGATGGGGGTGCTTTGTTTTCTGTCTTTTAATGGATTGGTTTTAGAGAAAACGCTTCACTCTATAATACCGGCCTTTCTGCAAAGCACTCGTAGTCAAGACACTGTGAACTGGCACAAGGACAGACCGAGGGATCAATGGATCAGAATGGAAAAGATCCATAAATAACTCACACGTTTACTTTTGTGCAAAGAAATCAAAGCAGTCCCATGGAGAACACGGGATGTGTGACGGGGACTCCGCAGTGGGCATCACCCTCGGGTCAGTTGGCAGAGGCGCTCAGCTGGGGGGATCCCGTGGACCCACTGGACCAGGAGAACCACGAGGAGCAGCCTCTGCACAGCCAGGCGAGGCCACAGCGCAGTCAGGCCGCAGCCGTGCTCCTGTGGAGATGGGTCCTCTGGGGTCTCCTCCCACGAGACCAGTTTCACACAAGCTGGTGCTATGGGACCCTGATGGAGACACAGAGATGTGTGGCCACGGGGCGGGGGGAGTGAATTACAGGAAGTGATGACTGCTCAGCGTCACCATGTTTGTCCCTCTGAGGTGGGCAGTGGTGCTCGTAGGTGATGTTCCGGGTGGCTCGGACCCAGGGGGAGTTCGAAGGACAACGGTCTGCCTGGTGGAAGGTGTACCCCCCTTGGCTCTACTGCAGCCGTCAGGCCCTTGGACTCATTGGAGCCCTTCCCAGTGCCGGAGGCTGCGGCCCTGGCCTGGGGGTGTGGGAGGTGACAGGCACGTGCATTTGTGTTTTCCAGTCTCATCAGTTGACATCACGGGTCCAGAGGAGGCGAAAGGCCTGGAGCAGGGGTGGTTGGAGGTGCAGTGTCGCTATGCCCCAGGATGGAAGACCTACAAGAAGTGGTGGTGTCGAGGGGCTGATTGGGGGAGCTGTAAGATCCTTGTTAAAACCAATGGATCCAAGCAGGAGGCGAAGAGGAACCGCGTGACCATCAGGGACGATCAGAGCAACCGCACATTCACTGTGACCATGAAGGCGCTCAGGCGCGAGGATACAGACGTTTACTGGTGTGGGATTGAGAGAGCAGGAGCTGACCATGGGATGGAAGTTAACGTGATCATTGGCCCAGGTAAGACTATGTGCTACGTCTCTTCAGGCCCTGCTCTGTCCTGGTCCCTGAGGTCCCTCTCCAGTGACTGAACTCACTTGGAGTGACCTGTCACAGGGATGGTAGAGTCCTGAGGTCTGACGGAACCCAGACTGCTCAGCTGGGGTCGGAGGAGGAGGGCTTCTCTCAGATGCTCTCAGGGCCCCAGGACCTCCTCCAGGATGGGACCCAGCCGTTCTGGACATTTAGTTTCTCTGCGCAGCTCAGTGCCCGAGCCTATTGCCCGTAGAGGTCACGGGGATGGCCCCAGTTTCAGCGCATCTGTCAAAGGGACCCCCTTTCATGGGACCCACAGACCCCATTTCCTTCCAGTGCTTTCCCGGGACCTCTGGGCCCAGGTGTTCCCACACTTCATGGAGTTTGGGACCAGGGCTCACAGCTGCTGTTCACACCCCTTGTTCTGCATCTGATCTCAGGGGGAGGAGGCCAGCACAGTGGGGTTAACTCCTGAGGTCTGGAAAGGCCTCTGCGCTCACAGCTGCATTCCGGGTGCCTGAGGTCCCTCACGAGCCGTATCCCATCTGGGTTTAAGACGTTCCCTTCCCCACACCTCCTAGAATGCAGGCCCTCCTGGAGTATCTGGGCTTGAAGCGGTTTATCTGTTGGGCTCTGGTTCTGCCGACCCTGGGACAGCCAGCACCACCTCTCAGGGCACGTGTGGCAGGGGGGACACAGTCCACAGAGTCCCCCCAACCTGGGGCCGGGGCCTGTCACAGCTGCAAAGTGCAGCACGTTCATTGTCTCATGGCATCTTGACAAGGACCCCGACAAGGAACTATCCCCATCATAGACCCTTAATAACCTGTGCAAAGTAAAGGCTCATTCTGAACATCCTGATTTTGTTCAGGGCTGGTCTTGACCTTAGAAGTCACAGATCTTGAGTATGTTAGTTACCTGGCATGTCCCTGTTCTGCTGTTGTCCTTGCTGGATAAATAAGGGGAGGCAATGGCTGAGGCGCTGTCATGAACAGCTGGAGTGTTTCAAGTTTAGCTGACCTCCAGCCGCCCTTGACCCGAGGCGTCCTGGGCCCTCACCCCCACGGCCTGCTTGCTGTCCCCTTGGACCTGTGCCCGGCTCACTGCTCCTGAGGCTCTGAGGCTCCTAGAGCCCAGGGGACAGGCGTGGTCCAGCCCTGCTCCTCCCCATGGCCCTGCCCCAGGCCCCGCCGGCCAGGGCCGCCCACACTGCTCCCGCTCAGAGCCACGAGCAGGGCTGCGGTGGGTTCCAGGCCGAGCAGAAAGCAGCCTGTTCTGTGTGCCCAGCAACTACCACTGTGTCGACCACCATTACTGCCATCATCTCTACCACCACCATGTTCACAGTGCCAGTCACCATGGGAAACCCTGCAGGCTCCCCGACTGCGACCAGCCCCCCCTCTGATGGCAGGTAAGTCGGCTGGCTGCTGTTCCCCAGGGCCCCATGTTCCAGACTCCTCTCACAAAGACGTGGCGCATCCCCTGTGCATCTCAGAGTGTGGGAGGTGGACGAGCAGGCAGTCAGGGCGGAGGGCATGGCCAGGGCGTGTGGGCACAGGGGAAATGGGCCACAGGCCCCTGATCTAAATTCCAGGAGAACGGGAAGGGCCCGGGGAAGTCCTGTTTCCCTGGTTCCTGTATGGCAACCACAGTGATACCGACCGTCCCTCGTGTCTCTGGAGCACCAGGCAGCTCCCCGAGGACTTTCCTGTCCCTTACTCTGTTCAGGCCTTGGCCCTGCTACTGACCCCCGCATGGAGGGGATGGGCGGATACACACGTTCCCATTGCTCAGAGGAAGAAACTGAGTCTCGCTCATGCTTCCTAGAGCCCTGCCCAGCCTGTAGCCGAGGGCCTTTCTGGAGGCTGAGAGGCCTCTTTCCTGTCTTCCCCTCCCCCTCCTTGGCCCTTTGGCTTTGTTTCTAGATCTGCTGTGATCTGTTGTCTTCCCACAGAATCCCTGTGGGTCATAGCGGATCTTATCACCCCACGGACCCCTTTGTCCCCTCGCTTATCTGCCCTCTGTTTTGAGAGTTTCTTCCTATCGAATTGCTTTTAATAAGTAATAGGAAGGAGTTTTTAAATTCAAGAATCAAAGGTAGATGTAAGTACCAATTAAGGTCTTTGATCAGCACTGGATGAATAATTTATTTATTCATTCAACCAATAACTACTAGCTCCCCTCACGTCCGTCACTGCTTTAGGGAGCACAGGGGACACGAGGATGAACCAAAGAGCAAAGCTGTCTGCCCTCCAGGCACTTCCAATTGACAGATAAATAATGGACCAAATAGAATTAATTCATTAATTGGCTGATGGATTTTCATACAAATCCCTGCGAACAGTGTTGAGGAAGAGATGACCCTGGCTTTAGTCAGCTCGGGCTGCCGTAACCACGTACCACAGGCTAGAGAACAGACGTTCCTTCTCTCGCAGTTCTGAAGGCCCCAAGTCTGATCAACGTGTTCACAGGGTTGGATTCTCCTGCGGCCTCTGTCCTTGGCTTGTAGACGGCCGTCTTCCCCCTGCGTCTCCCCACGGGTCCCCCTTGTGGGTGTCTGTGTCCTAGTCTCTTGTTCTTAGAAGGAGCCCGTCGTTATCCTCCGGCCGAGCACGCCAGGGGGAGACCTGTCAGGAATGAGGAAGGAGCGTTTGGGGGACAGGGGAGGCCAGTGTCAGCCTTGGTCATTTTCTTTGAATAAAATGGGGCTGTTATAAGACTTTTTTTCTTTTTATCCTCACCCGAGGATATTTTTCCATTTTTTGTACAGATAGAGTGGGAGGGAGAGAGAGAGAGAGAAACATCGACGTGAAGGGACACATCGAGTGGCTGCCACCCGCACGACCAACCAGGGCCGGGGACAAACTGCAACCGAAGTACGTGCCCTTAGCGGGAACCGAACCCGGGTCTCTCCGGACCGCAGGCCGACGCTCTAACCGCTGAGCCAAACTGGCCAGGGCTTTTTTTCTTTTTTTAAAAAATATTTTTTCTTTATTGATTTTAGAGAGGGAGAGATAGATACATCGATGAGAGAGCACATTGACTGGCCGCCTCCTGCATGCCCCCCACTGGGGATCAGGCCCACAACCTGGGCCTGTGCCCTGACTGGGAATCGAACCGGTGACCTCTTGGTGCAGGGTCGACGCTCAACCACTGAGCCACACCAGCCGGGCTGTTAAGGGATTTTGAGCATCGGAGGGAGGTACTGGAACCTTGGTTAAGAAGATTCCCCTGGCTGCTGTCTTGATGATGCACAACGGGTGGATGTAGTAGTTTCCTGTGGCGGCTACAACGAAATACCACAACCTAGGTGGCTTAAAACAACAGAACGTTATTCTCTTACTGCCCAGGAGGTCAGCAGTCTGAAATCAGAGTGTCAACAGGGTTGGCTCCTTGGAGCTGACAGGTAGAATCTGTCCCATGCCTCTCTTGGCTGGTGTTGGCTGGCAACCCTTGGCATTGCTTGCTTGTGGCTGCATCTCTCCAATTTCTGCCTCTGTCATCATACGGTCTTCTCCCTGGACATGCTGTGTGCCCAAATGTCCCTTTATTTTTCCATTGATACACACACACACACACACACACACACACACACACACACACACATATTTTTTTTGTAGAGTGGAAGGAAGGGAGGAGAGAGAGAGAGACAGAGAGAAACATAGATGTGAGAGAGACTCATTGATTGGTTGTTTCCTGCACGACCCTGACCGGGGCTGGGGAATGAAACCTGCAACCTAGGTATGTGGCCTTGATCAGAATAAAACCTGAGACCCTTCAGTCCACAGGCTGACGCTCTAACTGCTGAGCCAAACCGGCCAGGGCCAAATTTCCCTTTCATAAGGATACCAGTCATTGGATAAGGCCCCCCCTAATCCAGTATGACATCATCTTGATCACATCTGCAAAGGTCTTATTTCCAAAGAGGTCATCTTCACATTTCTGAGTGACCGTGAATTGTGGGGCGGGGAACACGATTCACCCAGCGCAGAGGACACGTATGGACGCAGGGAGACCTTCCCAGTGCCTGCAATTTCTGTTGGGCTCCTAGACCACTGAAACTACCTTGTAGAACCCGCCTCTCCTTAACAAAACAAAAACAAAAACAAAAAAACACAACAAAAAACCCCCCACCACAACGACATTTTGCAGGCACCCAGGAGCTAGGGTTCCCAGGCTAACGAACATAATAAACTGGTGAACAAAACCGGTCCAGAGGCGGGGAGGCCTGGAACAGACTGACAGATCTTAGCGGGGCGGGGAGGAGGGGGACAGGAAGAGATTAACCAAGGAACTTACATACCTAGGTGATAGCCAATGACACAGACACTGGTGTGGTGGGAGGCCTGGCGTGGGGCAGGGGCTGGGAGGAGGGAGCTAAAGAGGGGTACACTGGGGAACAGCTGTAATACTGTGAACAATGGAAAGGGTGCGTGGCCCTCCTGCTACCAGGCGGCTGGGGGCAGGCCCGAAGGCAGAGTGAGCCTGGGTGCACAGTGTGCTCTGTCGTTTCCAGCTTCTTCACGGATCGCAACATCCTCCTGCCCGTCCTCTCTGCTCTGCTGCTGCTGCTCTTGTTGGCAGCCTCGCTGCTGGCCTGGGGACTGGTGCGGCGACAGAAGAAAGGTGAGAGGGCCTGGCTGGGGCCGGGGGGCCGGGCTGGCAGGAGGTGTGTGGGCCGACGGCCAGACTTGTCACCCGGGAGCCCTCTATCCGAGGCGTTGCCCACATGGTTTGAAAGGGGTGTTGTCCCAAAGGCCGCTGGGAGCCAACCCAGGAGGCGTCGGCATTAGCTGTCTGCCGTGCACGCCCTCCTTGCCCCCTCTTCTCTCTGACCCGCCACTTCCTTCTCTGTTTCCTGGCTTGACTCTTGGTGGCAGAAGTGTCAGTGACCTTAGGCCCACTTCAGGTGCCCAGACACTTGTGAAATTCATATGGTTGCCAAGGAGGTACTGAGCTGACACGGGGGCAGGGAGAAACACACAGACACACACACACGTGAATGTGCACACACATGCAGGAACACATGCCCACGCATGCATATACAACACAGTGCATGTGCATACGTGCACAGATTCCACATATGCAAGCACACACGTGCGTGCATGCACACACGTCACACAGCGTCCTCTGGGTCTTATGAAAGGGGCTGGTTGCGATTCCCACTTCGCTCCTCCTCTGCCCCAGCCCCGGCTCAGGCTGACCTGTTCTGTATACATTCGCTCTTTAGGGAAGAGCCTCTAGGCTCAGGGGCCACATCATCAACAGGAGACCTGACCTCAGCCAAACCCTTTCCTTGTCTGGCTCCACAGCCTCACCCAGGGGCCCCGCCCCCTTCTTGGAGCCCTCTGGGGCAGCCGCTCTCATGGGTCCCCCCAGCACCCCCTCCCCACGGCCCGGGGATCTTGTAGTTGGAGGAGGGAGCCTGGCTCCGCTCATCATGTCTTCTCCCAAATGCGTCGTCCGTGACTTACGTTGTAGGTCCTCTCTGTGCTCCTTGTTATCGAGGCTTTTGAAACTAAAAACCTAGGCTGAGCCTGCTTGTTTCTTCATTGTCTCTAAAGCTAGGGGTGGGGCAGGGCCAAGGGCAGACAGGAACCGGAGCGGAGCACCCCTGAAAGCCGGTCTATCTGGTGCTGACCCAGCTCGAGCACCTTATAGGAGGGCAGCCTGGCACCATCCTGTCTGCAGACGACTTCTACCGATGGGCACCCATGTATCAGGCACACCAAGTGCCGGGCATGCAAGGAAGGGCAGGCTCAGCCACCCAGCAGCCCAAGGCCACCTGAAGTCTAAGCAGAATCTGGTGGGACAAAGGCGACGAGACAGACATAACTCAAGTGCACTGAGCGCTGGGGAGGGAGGGATCAGACCGCTGGGCGGCCGGGGAAGGTGGGTGTGAGTGACAGGTCAGGTGGACACGGCGGTGTTGCGGTAGAGCTTCCGCAGAAGTCACTGAGCCTGGGCTGGTGGTGAAGGAACCGACCCCGGGGAAGCTGGTGGCGGGCTCGACCACCCAATCACAGTCTGTGATGTGGGGAACAGATGGGCTGAGGTCCCCTTACTTTTCAAGTCGAGACATGGAAGCTCAGAGAGGTGAAGGACCCATGCCACAGACTGTCATCTGAAGAGTCCGACTTGGAACCAGGTCTCCTCTCTGAGCCTGGAGCCCCCTTCACTGCTTTTGTGTCATAGTTCCCTCCCCCAGACCTGGGGCCCAGGGTTTCAGGGTGGCCTTTCTAACTCGGATTGTTTTTGTTTTTTAGCTGCTGGGGTGGTCCCGGGACAGGTAAGAGAGCCCCTGAGGTCAGACCAGAGCCCCAGACGGCACTTTCCCCTCTTATCTCATCTTCCATCTGCCAGGGGCTCCGAGGTCCAAATGTATCAGACATACAAGTGTCCAGGTGTCCATATCGTCCCAGCTGCAGGGCCTGGGAGGATGGGGGCGGTGGTGCTGAAACAGCGGGGAGGGGAAGGGAGGGGGGGCAGGCCTGGGAGCCGGAGAAGTGGGGTTGCAGGGAAGCTGGGAGGTCACGGGGGCAGAGAGGTGCATGTCCTTCTGCGGAATGGGAACTGGGCTTCTTCTCCAGGAGCTGGGGCCCCTGGAGGACGACCTCTGCTACGCCAACCTGGCCCTGCAGCAGACTGGACCCCCCACCAGCCCCTCCAGGAAGAAGGCCCCCACAAAGCCCCCCCCCTCCGTCGAGGAAGACCGGGTGGAAGTGGAATACGTCACCATGGTGTGCACTTGGGGGGCTGTGTGGGCTGGGAGGCGTGGTTCCCCTCTGAGGATGGGCTCTCTCCTGCCCACGTGGGCACAGAGGAGGGTGGATATTGGGCAAAACCGCAGCCATTGAAAGATGCGCCTGCTGAGCTCCCCTAGGCTCCTGCCTGGCCTTTGGAAGTATCTCCATATGAGGTCTCAACATTGGGGACTCAGTGCCTGGTCAACCTCGTGTCGGGCAGGGGAGACCCAAACAGTCTGGGTGGCCGGGGACTGCACACAGCATGCGCTGCCCTGGCATGGAGTTGAGGGAGAGCATCTGCTGTGGCTGGAGCTCAGGGGCCTGGAGGGGTGGAGGGAGGCAGAGCTGGAGGGCCTGGGAGTGAACTTCGGAGTTCCTGAGGGGTCTGTCCCCAGCCTCAGGAGACCTCCTGTCAGTCTGTGAGCACAGCCCCCCGCCAGCCCCCCGCCAGCCTCCCTGACCAGGGTGCATCTTCCTTGCAGGCTTCCTTTCCCAGGGAGGATGTGGCCTATGCAGTTCTGTCTTTGGACGCCTCGGATCAGGACTCAACCTACGTCAACACGGGCGACCTCATCACCCCCCTTCCTAGGAGCCACGAGGAGTACACAGAATACAGCACCGTCGGGAAGCCGAGCCTGCACTAAGGACCCCTGTCCGACCCCACACGAGGCCGTCAGCACGCCCCTGCCGCGCCTTTCTGCTCCCAGTCTTCTCGTCGCCCCAGCTCCGGGCTGGGCTCCAAGCCTGGACTCAGGGGCTTCTGGGAGACAGGCAGGGGTCTCTGCCCATCCCTCCTCTCCCACACAGCTGGGGAAGAGGCTGGGGTATGCTCTGAGGGAGGAGCAGCAATGACCATGACAATACGGGTCATGAACCTTTATTTATTGCTACCACGTGTGGTGGGCTGAAGGCTGGCTCCCGCCCTACTAACCTCCAGAACCCGTGAGCATTCGCGTACGTGGCAAAAGGGGTTGTGCAGGTGGAGCTAAACGAAGGAGTTTGAGATGGAGAGATTATGCTGGATTATCCTGGCAGGCCCTGCACATAATCACAAGGGTCCTTCTAGGAGGGAGGCAAGAAGGTCATGAGAAGGCAGGCGGCGGCGGAGCAGAGGTCGGAGTGACGCGGCCGGGAGCTGAGGAGCGCTGCCGCCTCCAGCAGCTGCGAGTCGAGGGGTGGGCTTCAGAAGGGACAGCCTTGCGGACGCCGAGGCTTCAACCCTGCGCCATGGCTTTCGAGCTTCGGCCTCCAGAGTTGCAGGAGAGTACATTTGTGCTGCTTCACGAAGCCACCGGATTTGTGGTAATTGATAGACCCGCGATAGGAAACTAACAGACGACTGTGGCAGGTGCTCTTCCCTAAACGCTCCAGCCGCAGTAACTAAGTCCTCACGGCAGCCCTACCGGGCGCCTTCGTCACTGCCCCATTTTACAGGTGACGCGTCGAGGTCAGAGAGGTTCGGAGACTTCCGAGAGTTCTCGCTAGCAAGAGGACGAGTTGGAATTTGAGCTCAGGCATTTTGCCTCTGGAGTGTGGGCCACCGTCCTGCACTGTGGGTCTGAGGAGGACAGCGTGTGTGTGTGTGTGTGTGTGTGTGTGTGTACACTCCCACACAGCCATTCGCACAGGGATAGTGAGTATTTACCAACTCTGGACTGACCACCCTTATTCCAGAGTCCTGGCAGCCCTCCCTCCAGAGTGTGTCCTGAATCCTGTCCAGTCTCACTGTCTCCATGGTTACCAGTCTGGTCCAAGCCATCAGCCAGTTCTCTTTCGTTCTGTGACCCTGAGCCCATTCTCCCAGCAGCCAGAGTGATCTGTTTAAAGCAGACCTGCCCAGCTGGTGTGGCTCAGTGGCTGAGCAGCGTCCCATGGGCTGAGAGGTCCTGGTTCGATTCCCAGTCAGGGCACATGCTCGGGTTTCGGGCTCGAACCCCAGCGGAGGGCATGCAGGAGGTGGCTAATTGGTGTTTCTCACGTCAATGTCTCTATCTCTCTCCCCCTTCCTCTCTCTCTAAAATATCAATAAAAACATTTAGGGAAAAAAAAAACACAGACCTGCTCACTCCCTGCTTATCACCCTCAGGTGGCTTCTTTTGAGGCCACCTGGATCGAAGGCCCCTGCCTGCCCCTTTGACCCTGTCTCTGGCCACTCTCCCGGTCATGCCCTGTCCTTCATCCACACGGGTCTCCTGCTATCCCTCTAACCGGAGAGGGCATGTTCCCTCCTTTCTGGAATCTTCTTCATGCAGCTGTATGAATAGTGAGCTCCTGTTCCTCATCACATCTCAGCTCGCATGTCCCCTCTCGGAGTGGCCTTCCCTGACCCCCGTAGTGCGCAGCTCCCACGAGCCTCCGCTCTTCCTGCCACATTGCCCCGTTTCGTCCCTTCATAGCACGTGCCGCTCTGTGAACTGTTTGATTGCTCTGTGGGTCCCTTGAGTCCCACTCTGCAGAAGGCTGTCGCCCGCCGCAAGGTGGGGACTTTGTCACCGCTGTCTCCCTGTGCCCGGCTTAATGTCTGATGGGCGGTGAGTTCTCGGATGTTTCCATGTTCACCGCATGAATAAACAACGCAGGTTGTTCGAACCTGGAACTCAGGGCAAACTCTCAGGAGCAGGGACGCCGGGGACCGTCACTCTAGGAAGGGAGTCCTGGGCCACCTGGGACCTAAGGACTTCAGGATCGATGTCCTGGCAGGACACAGTGGAAGGCTTCTTCGTCGCCTCCTGGAACAGGGCGAGGTGAGGAGCCATGATTCCCTCCCACGGGCCGCAGAGGTCTGCTCCTTCCCTGGGTCCCCTTTGGCGGGGCTGGGATGACGTGTCAGGGAAGGAGCCCCGGCTTGGGAAGACGTGCTATGTGTGGGCCCGGCAGGTTCGGGGTGAAAAGGTGCTTCACGGGCCATCGTCAGTGCACCCTGGGGCGGGCCGACTTCTCACAGCTGTGGACACCCCACGCGGCCTGGGAGGTGGGTGGCCGTCCAGCTGTGGACACCCCACGCGGCCTGGGAGGTGGGTGGCCGTCCAGCTGTGGACACCCCACGCGGCCTGGGAGGTGGGTGGCCGTCCAGCTGTGGACACCCCACGCGGCGTGGATGGCTGCCCCACCATGTTCCTGCTCCCACGCCCTGAGTAATTCCCTGGGATCGTGAGAGCGTTACCTTCCCGGGGGTCTGCAGAGCCCTAACAGGCTTACATGTTCTTGGGTTGGTCATTCATGCTGCTTGGGCCAGAGCGAGACTGTCCGACCCAGGCTGTTTGAAGATTTACAGAACAAGAAGTGCCTACAGGGAGCTCTTTAAAGGGAGAAAGGTCAAAGCTGAGCCAAATTAGAGTGAGTCAAAATATAAAAATAAAATTCAAAATAGAAGCCCTGGGCCAGGGCACCGCTGTGCCACTCTAACTGGTTGTATACAGTGGCCTTACTGCTGAGTTTAAGCAGCCAGCACCCAGCAGAATCCAGAAGCACGTGTTCTGTTGGATCAAGGAGTTCATCTCCGACAATCAGGTGAACCTCCTGACATAAATGGAGAAACACAGGGAAGACTGGAATTTAGCTCGGTTTGGCTTGCCAGAGGAGTCTGGTTGCTTCTGCCTTTATCTGGACAGTGAATATGGGCTGGAGATGGAGGCTTCTGGCAGCCTGGCTGAGCGGAGAAAAAGTAAGTCAGAGAGACAGATCCAGCATGGCCGGTGCGGCTCCGTGGACTGAGCGTCCTCCTATGGACTGAGAGCTCCCGGTTCGATTCCCGGTCAGGGCACATGCCTGGGTCGTGGGCTCGATCCCCAGTGGGGATCGTGCAGGAAGCAGCCGGTTGATGTTTCTCTCTCACATCGATGTTTCTATCTCTCTCTCTCTGAAAAAAATCAATAAAAAACATATTAAAAAAAAAGATCTATTCTGATCACTTTTGATGACTTGACTCAAGCTTTTAAAAAATGTGTCTACCAGATGTATAGCTGGGTATAATGTTTTTATTTTATTTATTTATTTATCCTCACCTGAGGACATTTTTCCATTTTTTTGTTCAGATAGAGTGGGAGGGAGAGAGAGGAAGAGAGAGAGAGAAACATCGACGTGAAAGGGACACATCGAGTGGCTGCCACCCGCACAACCAACCAGGGCCGGGGACAAACTGCAACTGAGGTATGTGCCCTTAGCGGGAACCGAACCCGGGTCTCTCTGGACCGCAGGCCGACGCTCTAACCGCTGAGCTAAACCGGTCAGGGCTGGATATAATGTTTTTAATCCAGAATTCCAGCCATCTGAAAAGGGACGGAGCTGACTAACCCATGACATTGGTGAACGCTGCCCACCCATGCTACAGCGGACAGAGCGGACTTCGGGTCTGTGGTCCATCTGGCGAGCATCCAGGTTCTTGAGACGGTCTGACTACAGGGATCCACCTCAAGGCCAGTCCAACTTGTTCAAGCCTGAACTCAAAGTTAGAGTACAGGAAGTGGTCAGGCTCTGGGGCAAGGGAAGCAAATATATGCAAGAGGTTTGAAAGGAAGTTATTTCATAACGTTTATAGACTGGTATCTCGGTGTTGTCTAAGCCATATCCGGCTGGTCCATTTATTGCTAAGGAAGATTTTGGGTGCCAGACTAGCACCTTTACTGCAAGTAAGAGAACATTCAGATCTGTTCTTCTTGTCTGAGTGACAGTGGCATTTGCCATTTTTCTGTATGGTTTCCGGGAAAGTGCATTTCTGTTACAGCAAACTCAAGACACTGACCCACTGAACTCTGAGTGCCTCGTTAATTACAGCCTGTCCAAAGTAGCTCGGGCTTCCCTCCTCTGGCTTTTGAATGATTAATATTTAAAGATTCTGCTTGATAAAAACTGTAGGGTTTGGACAGTCTCCTTTTGAGAACTATATATATAAATATATTTTTTTGAGAACTATATATATATATATTTTGGAAATATATATATATATATATATATATATATATATATATATATTTTAATCCTCACCCAAGATATTTTGATATTTTTCTATTTACCTTCAGACAGAGTGGCAGAGAGAGAGAGGGGGAGAGAGAGAGACATCGACGTGAGAGGGACACATGGACTGGCTGCCTTCCGCACGGCCCTGCCCCGACCAGGGCCAGGGACGAAATGCAACCAAGGTTCGTGCCCTTAGCTGGAGTTGAACCCGTGACTCATTGGTCCACAGGCGACGCTCCACCACTGAGCCAAACTGGCTGGGCAAGAACAATGTGCATGCTGCTGGCTTTCAGAAGATAGCCTTTCCGAGAGTCAGGTGACAGAGACAGATACACAACGACGGAAACCTTCAAAACACACAATTAAGATACATGTTGCATTGAAGTGAGTTTAAGGGCTACCTTTGCTGGACACCTTCACAGTGGCTTTAGGCTCGGAAGGGCCAGGCTGCTGGACTCGGTTGATTTCACGTAATCAATACTTTTTTAGCTCGGGAGGGACCGATGCAGTGGTTAGCCTTTTATTTGACCAATCAGGCTCATTCTCAGCCAAGGTGATCAGAACTGATAGTTGGTCAGTTCATTGAAAGAGTTGGTTAATTCAGGGAATCATAAAACAGATGTTCTTTCTCTAAATGCTTTATTTTGACTCAAAATAGCTAAACATGCAGCAATTTGCTCATATATATATATATTTTTATCCTCACACAAGGACATTTTTCCATTTTTTGTTCAGATAGAGTGGGAGGGAGGGAGAGAGAGAGAGAGAGAGAGAAAGAGAGAGAGAGAAACATCGACGTGAAAGGGACACATCGAGTGGCTGCCACCCACACGACCAACCAGGGCCGGGAACAAACTGCAACCGAGGTACGTGCCCTTAGCGGGAACCGAACCTGGGTCTCTCTGGACCGCAGGCCGACGCTCTAACCGTTGAGCCAAACCAGCCAGGGCAATTTGCTCATATTTTGATGGAGACCTAAGTCATTTCTTTGCCGACAGGCCTGCAGGAAGAAGGGGCTGGTTTTCTGCACACATGGTGTGCGGCTGGATTTTCAGTTCCAGTTTCTCTGACGCGGTGCAAGACACCCTAGACACTTATGAAGCAATCTGATTGCAAAACCCTGTTTCATTTTTATGTTTTTACTGGAAATATTTCATAGTTCTCTCACTCATTCCTAATTTGACGGCATTAAAAAAAAAAATGACATGCTTTTATCGAGCCTTTCCAAAGCATTCAATTTTGTTTTTGTAGAAATAACTTTTCTCTTTCTTACTGGTCAGTTTCCTTTCTGTTTACACTTGTCATTGATTAGTTTATGGACGCATGAATTAAATCACATAGCTATAATTAAATGTGTATGACAGCCCTAAACGAGTTTGGGCTCGAACACAATTGACTCTTGTTAAAAGTGCATGTCACGGGCGAGAACAGAAGAATCTGCCCATTGCTACAGGGGTAAAGTCGGTACGTTTCACCAAGAGACTAAAGGGGGTTGGTTGCTCTAGTAACTTGGTTAAGAGAGAGATTGGTTAAGAAAGTTTCTACTAAACCATCTGTTATGACCATACTTTCATAAAAGGACGGACATTTGAGAATCCCACGTCAGAACAGTAGTCAGTGTTTCCCAAGACAGGATGGTAACTTTATGCCGATGTGGATTTATGGTGCGTGTACACGATCTGCTACAGATCAGTCGATACTTTGTCAAGGGCTGGCACTCACTTATGGACTAAGGACTGGCAGCCGTTGATCTTGTTCACCCTGTTCTCTGGACACAGATCCCCTCCCCACATCCCAGCTGGTGTGGTCGAGCATTCCCCCAGCAGCCTCTGGCACTCACA